CCAATAGATAAAACTGAAGAAATTCCAGTCTCAGATGTATGTGCCGTGAGACTTGAAGAATTAGACTCGAAAAAGAGATATGCAACCTTACTTAAGTTGCACAGACAATTTGCACACCCACCAATAAAGCGTTTAATTGCACTTTTGAAAGATGCTGGAGTATGGAAAGAGGAATATGAACATGAAATGTCGACTATAGAGAAACAATGTGAAATTTGTAAGCGATATGCAAAAACACCACCAAGACCAGTAGTGTCCCTACCTATGGCATCTCAATTCAATGAAAAAGTGGCAATGGACCTAAAACAGTGGAATGGACGGTGGATTTTGCACATGATCGACATGTGGTCACGGTACACTGTATCTGTTTTTATTGATAGGAAGAAGACTACAGGTGTTATTGAGAAAATGATGACTAATTGGATCGGAATATTTGGTGTTATGGGAACTATATTAACAGATAATGGCGGTGAATTCAGCTCAGATGAAATGAGAGCGGTTGCATCAATACTGAATGTTAAAGTTTATACCACAGCTGGTGAAAGTCCTTTCCAAAATGGACTATGTGAGAGAGTCCATGCAATTACTGATACAATGCTTATGAAGCTAGAAGCTGATTATAGACAGGTGAATGATCAGAGCTTACTTTGTTGGGCAAATATGGCAAAAAATGCTTTACAGATGTGGAATGGATTCAGTAGTCATCAACTTGTTTTTGGACTCAATCCCAGCCTTCCGAACATTTTGAAAGACACTTTCAAAGCTTTAGAAGGAAGAACTTCAAGTGAAGAATTTGCAAAACATTTGAATATTTTACATGATTCTCGAAAAGCTTACATTCAATCAGAGTCAGATGAACGCATTAGACGAGCACTACGTGGCAAAAAAGAGCATCAGAGCAGATATTTGATCACGGTGATAGCGTTTTTTTTATAAGCGAGAGGGAAAAGATCGCTGGCTAGGACCGGGAAAGGTAGTTTTCCAGGATGGAAAAGTAATTTTTGTTCGACATGGAGGAGTCTTTGTGAGAGTTTCACCAAACAGATTAACTGAAACTAAAGATATTAATTTGAGGGAACAAAATGTCAATATTGAAACACCTGATACAAATGAAACAGGCAATCATGAAACCAGATATACTAATAAAAATAATGAAGTTTCCCGTGTAGAAAAGAAGGATTGTTTTTCCGAGTTATTATCAACATCAAAAGAAAGAATTCCTCAGATGGAGAACATTCAGGTAAAAATAATCCCTAATCTAAAAGAAAATGACAAAATTCAGTACAAACTGCCTAATTCAAACACAAGGACTAAAGCTACTGTACTAAGTAAAGCAGGAAAAACAACAGGGAAAAATAAACATTGGTATAATGTTCAAGATAATGTTGATGAAGATAAGAAAAGTGTAGATTTAGATAAAGTTGAGTGGGAAAAGGTCACAGGTGACAGTGATGAGAATGAAATTGGTGTAAATATGACAAACAGTTCCTCTTTGAATGATGAGGAAATTGCTAAACAAACAGAACTCTCAAAACTCCATAATTTTGACACTTATGAAGAATGTGATGACATTGGTCAGAATGCTCTTTCTACAAGATGGGTTATTACAACCAAGGATAATCAAACAAAAGCAAGACTTGTGCGAGGTTTTGAAGAAGAATTTACCATGCAGAGAGACAGTCCAACAGTAGGAAAAGGAATGATTAAAATATTCCTTTCAATTGCTGCTAGCATGAGTTGGATCGTTAAACCAACGGATATAAAGTCAGCTTTTCTTCAAGGGAAGATATTAGATAGAGATGTTTTTTCTGAAGCCCTATCAGAAAGCAATTCTAAGAATGGAAAAATATGGAGATTAAAGCACTGCTTGTATGGACTTAAATATGGAGCAAGACAATTCTATTTAAGTGTAAGGGAAGAGCTTTTAAGTTTGGGATGTAAACAATGTAGTTTGGACCCTGCCGTGTTTGTCAAATATACTGACCAACGTTTAAGTGGAATAATTTGTTGGCATGTAGATGATTTTCTTCATTCTGGGGATGAAAAATTTGAGGAAGTTATGAGAAAACTGCGGACAAGATTTGTTGCCGGAAAAATTGAAGAGAAAAATTTTTCATATGTAGGATTTCAAATTCATCAGAACAAAAATGGCATAATTTTGGATCATTCTACATATATGGAGAAAATAGATAACACAACTATAGAACCATCAAGAGCCGCTATGAAACTAGATGTCCTTAATACAAATGAGCAAACCTTGTACAGGAAGTTAATTGGCCAAATAAATTGGGCTGTTCAAGTTTCAAGACCTGATATGGCTTTTGAAATGATTGACATGAGTACTAAACTTAAAGAAGGGACAGTGGCACATTTGATAAGACCAATCAAAGCAAGTAATAGACTTGAGGAAATTAAATCAATAATTTCATTTCCAAAAATGAATAAAGATATAAAAGAATGGAAAATTATCGTTTTAACAGACGCCTCTCTGGGAAATATTAGTAATGGAACTGGAAGTACAGAATCTCATGTAATTTGGATAGTTGATAATGAAAAAAATAGCTGTCCGATAACTTGGCAAGCAAACAAAATCAAACGTGTAGTAAGATCTACAATTGCAGCAGAAGCCTTAAGCTTACAAGATGGGTTAGAATCTAGTTTTTATCACCGTCGAATAATTGAAGACATTCTAGGGTTAAAACATCAGACTATACCAATTGAAGCTTACATTGACAATAAAAGTGTAGTTGAAGCTGTTTATTCGACTAAACTTGTAGATGACAAGCGTTTAAGAATTGACATTGCAGCAATAGCTGAATCATTGGCGTCGAAAGAAGTAGACAATATTAAATGGTGTCCAGGAGATAAACAATTAGCAAATTGCATGACAAAGTTTGGAGCTTCATCTTATGAACTTTTGCAAGTTATTCAAACAGGAAAAATGTTGAAGGACTTTGTTTAAATAGTGAAATAATTCATAACATTTTATCATTTTATGTTTGTCACATGGGGCAGAATAATCCCCTAGATCTGAGGGTAGTCTAAACCCTGTGACGATCTTGTAATTTTAATTTAGCAACTTTTATGTTTTCATATGGGGCAGAATAATCCCCTAAGATCTGAGGGTAGTCTAAACCCTGTGAAGATCTTGTAATTGTATAAAACAAAAGAAAGTAGAGGGAATGTTAATCTAATGTTACTTTGACTATATAAAGAGAGATAACTCTATTTCATGTTTCTACAATTACTCACTTCCTGTAGGAGTGAGTCCTCTTCCTGTTAATGGTCAATTGTGTAACATGTGCTAATAGTTAATAAAGTATTAAAACTTATTGATGTCCTTCTGAGTGCATTAACACTTTTTTTTATTTTTATACCCCCTGACAAAAGAATGGGGGTACATTAATTGACCCTTGTCAGCTCGTTTGTCTGTTCACTGATAGGGTACATTGTTTATCCGTTGACTTTCTAACAGTTAAAAGGTAGGACCTTTTAAGTTTTTATAATAGGTGTTGATATACGGAAGATGTGCATATGGACAAGATTTTTGTTTTCTATGATTTTTCACAAAGTTACCAGATCTTGAACATAGTAATTTATTTAGATTTTAGAAATTTACGATATAGAGTTTGCCTGTCGATCGTTGTTGTTTGCTTAAAATCCAGTGGCAAATATTTCATGCATATTCGGGATGAGAACAAATTAACAATAAATCCAATAGGTAGGTACTGCAAAGTGAGTCGATTAGGATAAGGGACAGGAATTTTGACTGATCTGAAAAACAGGTGTGTTGGACAGGGGTAGGAATTTTGCCTTGCACATTATTTGTAAATGTATCATTTCATTTGCCAGAGTCATTACTAGCTTCAAAATTACTTTTTTTAATTGGTTTAAAACACTTTGCTAATTTTTTTTGCACAAGATGAGAGAAGCTTATCTTTAATCATTGTTTATTATTATTCTTTTTTCTAGTTATTCTATACATAATAAAAACATGTATGCATACTGGAATACCAAATATAAAAATGGTATCTCAATATACAATATTGTTGCATTGTCAGAAAATAGTGGGACTCTCCAAGCTTTTCAAACAAACTATTTATACAAACTTGCATAATCCAATCTGTAAGAGATATCAAATGGTCAAGACCATGTTCAACATTCACTACCTGTAATATTGACCAGTGGTCATACCAGTGTCTAATAAGATAGTGTAATGAGTAAATGAAAACAGGATATAAAGCACAAGAAAAAAATCTCTGGCCATCTGGCAATGATCTAGGAGACATTTACTGTGCAATAGTTAACCAATTGAAATGTCTCTTGAATAAGGTGGCTTCTTAACAGGGTCAAATATACTCTAGAAAACCTCAATGGAACAGAACATCCAATTAACATGTATATTACCATCTAATAATGTATTAGGTTTATACAAATATTACATGCATAAACGGAGTGGCTATCACCATGTAAGCACATTAAATACTATTTCAAAGGGACAAAACTGTAAAAAGTAGTTTACAGTGATATTATTATTATTCATGGGATACCAATTTTTTTTATATCTTGTGGGTATAGGGAAACAACAGCTTTAAATGTTCAATGAAGTTTACATTTACTATAGGCTTGTACACAGACTTTAGCAAAACCACAAAATCAAATATCCACAAAAATACAATTTTTCCCTACTCCACGAAAATTGGTACCCTTGAAAAAAAATGACTCTACAGTAAAACCAAAATCATCTCTAAAATTAATGTCCTCTTTAATTACACGGTTTGAAGAAAACATGAAAAAGGACAGCAAAGTTAATTCAGTTAAACATACTGAATGACTTCTAAATATCACCCTCAACTTCAGCATTTCCCTATATAATTATTCAATGACCTGGTACATTGTTCTAAAAATGACCTCACAGCCTCTAATTGTCCGAGACTATCGGTGTCGAATCATCTATGAATCTTTTGTTCTTCAGCATCCATACAATTTATGATTCTGTCTTGAACAATGAGAAATGTGTTTTATTAATCATGATTATATTTATTCATAAAATCAATTTATTAGTATTAGTCACTGGTGACAGTTTAAAACTAGTCATTTGTATTGCATTCTGGTCCAGATTATGATGCAGAAGTTGTGTTCACCACTAGTAATAATATATTGTTTAAGAATCTATGGCATGACCAAAAATCACTCTAAACTCCTCTTATTTCATGTTTTCATATCATTTTGTTTGTTCCACCAAGCTACCATCTTCTCTACCAAAGTATGCCTTCTTGGCCATGTTGATAAATAATCCTGTATCTAATACACCTGAAAAAAATACACAAAAAACCAAAATAAGCTACATGACTAAAGTTGACATGGCATGAGGCTTTGATAAACTAATGACAATTCAGGCAACAGGTCACTGAATTGAGTCATTATCTTGTAATCAGTCTCCTTTATGTAGTTTGAAAAACCTAAACATTTGTTTTAATTCATAGTTTGAGATGCTTATTTTAATTACATAAAATATTGGTATTGAAATATATCATATCATCAATCGTTCTAACAATAATGGTGAAACATGTATGGGAGTAAGTGTTTTGCTAAGGAAACAAATAATTTGCCTTTTAATTGAAGATAATGTCTGAAGAGTAGTTATGTGCACTCAGGAGTCAATGCTTCAGGTACAATACTGGAATGATTTAAATGATGTATTTTTCACTGTAAGTTTTCAGTTTATAAATTATGTAATTGTATTTTAAAGTACTAAAACTTGAACTATATGTTTTTGGTTATTAGGCTCTCAAACATTTTTTATTTTTAACTTCCCAGAATTTTGATTGATTGATTGTTTGATTGATAACTTCACTTTCAGCACTCTTGGCTATTTTGTGGCAGACAGTTTTTATTGATGAAGCCGGAGTACCTGGAGAGAACCATGACCTTTGGCAGGAAAAAATTGCCAATCCTAGCTACTGAATATATAATTTACAATAACTAAAACAACAAACCTGGTATCAACACAATTTGTTGATTTATTTTATTCCAGTCCTGTGGTAATGATTGGAATTGCCAGTCTATCACAAAGTTACCATTGTCTGTTACTACTGGACCCTGAAAAGAAACAGGTCTAAAAATTATGTTAGTTTGAAACTAATAAATCTATTAATTAACCAGACCAAATATTTTAACTACTGGAACAAAATTAAACATACTTTTAGAAGTATTAAAACACTATATTATCTGTAAAGATGAACCTTAAGGTGGTACATAACACTACAGGGAGATAACTCTGTCAAAATCAGCTGAACGTTTTAATCATGTTCTATTGTTAAGGAAATATAAAGCTTCTCAATGATCAAAATTAGTGTTTGTCAAACTGCTATATATCCAATGAAATTTTTTCGATAAAGTGTGGTTCAAGTTTTTTGAAATTTTTATATTTTTGTCAAAGGGTCAAAGTAAATATTTTGTCAAATTTTTATGAAAATTAAACGAGCCAAATTAATTTTAGTCAAGGTGTTTGGTACCACCTTAAATGGTTAACAATTGAATGAAAAAGGGTACATTATTTTTGAGTCCATTTTTTAAGTGATTAAAGGTAAGACGGTCTCACTCAATACTTGAAATATTATTGCAACTGGTGCAGTTACTGTCATTAATTATAAAGAAAAAGGAGATGTGGTACGATTGCCAATGAGATAACTTTCAAACAGAGACCAATAGATGAGAATGTCAAAAACTCCAGGCCACAGTATGGTCTTCTACCATAAGCAATGTCCTCACATGACAAAATATAAAACAACTTAAATGAAAACAAGGAACAGAGCATAATTTTTCATATAATATTTTGTTTTTTATTTCGCAGTTTCATCCCTATTGGGTTAAAGAATATCTTTAATTTTTAAATTAAAAAAATGACTGGAACTTCTTAAACCATGACAATTTTATACAATTATAAGCCTTTCAATTCTTTCAGTAGGCTAGTACAACCGGGTAAATACATACTGCTTTCTTGACTCCCATTCTAAGATTAGCCTGTCCTCCTAACATTTCCTCTAGCCTTAACTGCACTGGTCTATAAGCTGATGGAATGACTTCTATTGGTATACCTTGTTTCCATGTTGTACCTAGTTCTTTTGATTGTTTACTAGAAAAACATTATAAAAGAGAATAAAAATAATTATGTAGGAAAATAGAAGCCTCATTGTTGTGCCACGATTATTTATAGTATTCTTTTAATAATAACCTTCATTCATTGCTTTTCATTTGTATTTCCCTGCGTTTATTTTCCGGGAAACTAGGTCATACATATTTTCACTTTTATACACTTGCTTGTTATGCGGAATGATTTTCTATAGTTACAACATAATTACCTTATTCAGAAGTTATTAATGCATCCTATTTAATCCATAGTTATTCTTTTATAATGTTAGAATTATCCAAAATCATACTTGTTAATTTAAAGGCCATTTTGGTTTACTTTCACAATTGTGTACACGCATACTATTTTTAGATGTATTGATTAACTTGATCTTTCAAATGTTTGGAGAAAAGTATAGGCAGTTTCAAATTAAAGCCGCTGGCGAACAGCTGATTTTTAGACAGTGACCTAGAATTATTTATTCAGGTATTTCGGCACACACTGCAATTCTATTTAATTGATTTATTAATAACTATTGTTAATGATATTAGCTTTTAATAAAGCTGCTTTTATTTATTAAAACAAATCTTTTTTCTTGATTATCCAAAGTTTGGACTTCAAAACAGTTTTACTACTTTGACTTTAATTGATATTTGTATAATATCGATATATCTGCCAACCATTTACAATAACGGTTGGCGTTTCACTCATTTTATATATTTGTACCTGTAACTTCTATAATTCCAAACAAGAATGTTTTATATTAAACAGAGAAATTAACCTTTTTTCAATTTGCTATGTATTTTAGAAATGGAGGCTCTATAACGCTTGCATAGCTTTCCTAGGGTATACATATAAGGGTAATGGTGCATTTTTGTTTTATTTTTGGAGGACATTCAAGCAAAGTTAAGATCAAGAACAGCAAAAAACACTTCTCCTTGTCTCATATACATCGACAAAATCACTGAAATTTGATCCAAGACGATAGATTGTAGCAATATCACCAATCATTATTATATAAAAGAAGAATGTGTCCAGATGTCCCCATTTTTAAATAAACGACAAATTTTGCAATTTTTCCGTTTATAAAGGGACATTACTTGAGTGACAGCATCCAAATTTGATCTTAATCTATGTTTTTTGGTGGTTATAAGTATTGTGTTTAAGTTTCATAACATTTGGTTGAGGAAAAACAAAGTTTATAGAGAATGGGAACCAATTTCAGGACATACAGACGTACATACAGACAGACGTACAGACAAGGGTAAAACTTAATGCCCACAGACACCTGGCAACGAGGGCATAAAAAATCTAGTCACAACAAGCTCTGTTGTCATGGTTGTTTCAGACAAATTATATTATTGGTGTTTAATTTAAGAGTTCTGATATCACAATGCCAAGTCCAGTTTGTAAGCAGTTGAACTGAAAATATGATCATGTACATTACACACTGGGTATCAAAGAATTAAATATGGTTTTTAAACAGGTTGAGAATTTGAAAACAAGGCAACTATACGAATGAATTATGAAAATCATGTAAGTTTACATAAACATCAATCAGTATAATTTCATGACTGTTAATCATTCCCTATTATAATTTATAAAGTTACGGTATGATTGCCAATGAGACAACTCTCCACCAGAGACCAAATGACATAAAAGTTAACAACTATACGTCACCGTACAGCCTTCAACAATGAGCAAAACCCATACCACATAGTAAGCTATAACAGGCCCCAAAATGACAAATGTAAAACAATTCAAACGAGAAAACTAACGGCCTAATCTACATAACTGATTAGTTGACAGAAGTATGTTGTTTGCTTCTCATCCAGTGGAAACAATATTTCTTGAATGTTCAAGATTAAAAAAAATTTTAAAGAACCTTTGTGAGCACGCTCACATACCCCACGCCCCCACATTGTCACTGGACAAACAAATTCTCACCAGATTCCTAAGTTCAAAGACTCATAACTATACAAAAGTCAACTGATAAAAATTTTCTTGTTGATATGCACAGGAGTTGCAATGACAAACTATTGCAGTAGTATATTGAGGCCAAAAAGTTCAAAGGGGCATGCACAGGAGTTGCAATGACAAACTGTTGCAGTAGTATATTGAGGCCAAAAAGTTCAAAAGGGCATAACTCCTAGAAAAAAAATTGAATCATACTTTCCTGTCGATTTGCACATCTAAATAGTATGTCCTTATTATCTACAAAGTTTCATGAAATTCTGTTGTGTGGTTTCAGAGGAGTTGCAATGACAAACTGTTGCAGTAGTATATTGAGGCCAATAAGTTCAAAGCATAACTCCTAGAAAAAAAAATTCCGGACAGACGGATGGGTCAAAAACATTATACCCTCCGCAACTTTGTATAATTGAACAATTCATCAAATTAGTAGGTACTGTTTTAAAGTAGATCTTATTGGATGGAGGGAAGGGAATGTGGACTGCCACTCGGTAAAAACAGAACATTTGAAAGCAGCAGGAATATGGCATCGCAATAGTCCACAAAAGACCATCAGAGTTGTTGCAAGGACTTTGTAATGTGTAGAGTGTGCAGCACTATCCCAAAACTGGATATGAAATATAATAATTACGGAGATGAGGTATGATTGCCTATGAATGCAGCTATAAAACAACTATCCACCAGATAAAGGATATTGATGTAAGCAACTGTAGGTTACTATTAAGACCTTCAACTATGAACAAAACATGTACCATATAGTCAGGTATTAAAGCCACAACATGTTTATTTTCTTACTGTAACATATGATATTAAGCATGTTGCTTTACTTGTTCAACTATAAAAAAAGAAGCTTTTTACATATTCATGACATTTGCCAAAAACAAAAAGTTTAGTCATAATCAATTAATATGTGATGATAATCCTGAAAAAGTTGAAAAAATTTGATAAATCTGGAGTAATCAGAAGGTAACACATTTTAGAATTTAACAGGTATTAAATTTCTACTATTTAAAGATAATCTTATAATATTTCTTATTTTCATATTGGGACACATAAGTTGGCATCTGATAATGATAATATCAATAACTAATGTGGAATACTCTTAATCCATAATATACATACCAAATATCAGCTATAATATAGAATTCTTTGGCATTTGATGCTACCATTTTTTCCTGAGTTTGACAAGCCCCACCCCCTTTTATACAATTTAAATCTTTGTCTACTTCATCAGCGCCATCTATAGCTACATCAATCTGTAAATTATAGTTGAAAAAGTCTAGATAAATGAAAATACAATCCAAACAAAATCTATCTTTGCAGCCCGTCTTAATTCCATAAGATATTTCACATACAGATTCAAAAGATTTTACTTCTGTTTGTCATATGAAACAAATTTCTGGTGATTATAATGTATAGGAAATTATTGAACCAATGCATGCATATATACTTAACTGAGTCCTCTATGCAAGTTTTTTTTACATTCATTATGAATTATAAATGCCAACAAAAAACTCATTCAGTGATAGATATATTCCTTCCAAGTTTGTTAACTTTTTCTTCCCTCGCGTCTTTCCTTCACACTTGGGTTGTGTGATTAATTGCTGAATTTCTAACAAGAAGTGTTATTATTAAGTTCACTGCATACATGACAAGTTTTGATGCCCCATCCCCCCAGGCAAAGGGGGGCAGTACATGTTACTCTTGACCATCTGTCCTTATGTCCGTCCCAAAAGTATTTTCCCATATTATAAGCAAGCTTGAGAGGGGGCATTCATGTCCTTAGACACGTTCTTCTTTTATCTATTATTTATTTTTAATTTGGGTTGTTAAAAGTTTTCAAACTCATACTCCTGTTATCTTTTTGTTATGTATTATAAAAGAACATTAATACACCTACAAGGACACTAATATATTAGGCCACCCTTAAAAAATTCTTTGTGTGATGTTGCCTACCCATGCCTTGCAGGGTTGGGTAAGTAGGTAGGGATTTTTTTTTTTTGTCAACAACATGAGTTACATGTTTTCCAAAAGAAAACAACATTAGAGCAGGAAAAGATCTTTTAAATTTTTTTTAACTGATTTGTGTCATAAATTTTTTTCGGGAAGGTTGTATTTTAGTTGGGTATGTACATGTATGCAACATCAAACCATCTAAATTTTATTTTTGGTCTTATGCTTCAATTTCAAGTAAGTTCAACTTCATCCATTGCAAAACAGACTGGTATTTTGAAAAATTGTGTAACATAGGAAATGTCTCATCATTGAAAAACTAGGTGTACATTACTTGACATGGCCATGATGGCAGTTTTATAATTTGATAAAATAAAATATTTTCCAAAATATTATCTACAAGCAATATTAAAGGATGAGTTGGTTCCCTTAGCTGTTCAATGTACTTTTCTCATGGATAATATTCAATTATGTTTACATATGCTGTTCTAGTGAGAGGAAAATTACTGAACAGGCAAAATAGTTCACATCTTTCACAAATTTCTAACATACTTTGTTACATTATCGAAATCCCATGGGACCTGGGTGTCCGAGTGGTCTAAGTAGTTCAACTACTATACCTCTAGCCTGTCATCACTGAGGTTGCAAGTTCCAGGTCAACATTGAGGTTGTGAATTTTGAGCCCCGCACATGACAGGCGCATTTGACTCCAATCTTAATTGACTAGGATTGCCAGTTTTCCGGCAGAAGGTTGGTGGTTCTCTCCTGGCACTCTGGTTTCATCAATCAATAAAAACTGGTCACCAAGAAATACCAATAGTGCAGAAAGTGGTGTTATAAAAAAAACTGTCAATCAAAATCCCATCAACAAAACACTACCCTGAACTTCCATTTACCTTTGGATTTCTATCTAGACTTCCTAATGTTAATCCGTTCTCTTGTATTAACTGTCTAGCCTATAAATAAATAAAAGAAACAATGAAGAAAATTCTTTCATGATTTATGATTTTTTTCAGTATATATAGAATAGGATCCCAGTTACTGGATGCCAGTCCAGTACCCACAAATGAAGTCCCTTAATAAATCTACCGTCTTTTAAATGGAATATTGTACCAAGATGGAAATTTTGTAAAGATGCTTAAATTTGTAGTATATCCAATGGGTATTCATTAAACTTTCAACTTCTGTTAAGTTTTAAGTGATTCTGAAATGTATAGGGTGGATGATTATCTGAGCAAATGGTCCAAATTTTATTTTCGATTTTAGCCAGGAAGTTAACTAGAGGCTCTCAAGAGCCTGTGTCGCTCACCTGACTCTACTTTGGTTTTAGAAATCATGTAAAGATAGATAAAAATCATAACAGATACCCAAATAATGATTGAGGCCAAATTTTGATTAATATTGGTCCCGTTATTTAATAAAATATCCTGGTGGCCATCTTGAACAGTAAATCGGCAACAAAGTAGCAACACTTGGTCAGCACTTCATAAGGAACATTCATGCCATGTTTGGTTTCATTCCATTCAGTGGTACTCTAAAAGAAGACATTTGTATGTATTTCCCATAGGGTCCTATGTTAAACTAAGCCCCCCCCCCTAGCGGCCATCTTGGATGATGGATCGACTGCAAAGTAACAACACTTGGTCAGCAACTCATAAGGAACATTCATGCCATGTTTGGTTCAATTCCATTCAGTGGTTCTCTAAAAGAAGACAATTGTATGTATTTCCCATAGGGTCCTATGTTAAACTAAGTCCCCCGCTGTCGGCCATCTTGGATGATGGATCGGCTACAAAGTAACAACACTTGGTCAGCATCTCATAAGGAAGATTCATGCCATGTTTGGTTTCATTCCATTCAGTGGTTCTCTAAAAGATGACATTTGTATGTATTTCCCATAGGTCCTTTGTTAAACTAAGTCCCCTGCTGTCGGCCATCTTGGATGATGGACCGACTGCAAAGTAACAACACTTGGTCAGTACCTCATAAGGAACATTCATGCCATATTTGGTTTCATTCCATTCAGTGGTTCGCTAAAAGAAGACATTTGTATGTATTTCCCATAGGTCCTTTGTTAAACTAAGTCCCCTGCTGTCGGCCATCTTGGATGATGGACCGACTGTAAAGTAACAACACTTGGTCAGCACCTCATAAGGAACATTCATGCCATGTTTGGTTTCATTCCATTCAGTGGTTCTCTAAAAGAAGACATTTGTATGTATTTCCCATAGGGTCCTATGTTAAACTAAGTCCCCTGCTGGCGGCCATCTTGGATGATGGACCAACTGCAAAGTAACAACACTTGGTCAGCATCTCATAAGGAACATTCATGCCATGTTTGGTTCCATTCCATTCAGTGGTTCTCTAAAAGAAGACATTTGTATGTATTTCCCATAGGGTCCTATGTTAAACTAAGTCCCCCGCTGGCGGCCATCTTGGATAATGGATCGGCTACAAAGTAACAACACTTGGTCAGCACCTCATAAGGAACATTCATGCCATGTTTGGTTTCATTCCATTCAGTGGTTCTCTAAAAGAAGACATTTGTATGTATTTCCCATAGGGTCCTATGTTAAACTAAGTTCCCCGATGGTGGCCATCTTGGATGATGGATCAGCTACAAAGTAACAACACATGGTCAGCACCTCATAAGGAACATTCATGCCATGTTTGGTTTTATTCCATTCAGTGGTTCTCTAAAAGAAGTCATTTGTATGCATTTCCCATAGGGTCCTATGTTAAACTAAGTCCCCCGCTGGCGGCCATCTTGGATGATGGATCGGCTACAAAGTAACAACACTTGGTGAGCACCTCATAAGGAACATTCATGCCATGTTTGGTTTCATCCCATTCAGTGGTTCTCTAAAAGAAGTCATTTGTATGCATTTCCCATAGGGTCCTATGTTAAACTAAGTCCCCTGCTGGCGGCCATCTTGGATGATGGATCGGCTACAAAGTAACAACACTTGGTGAGCACCTCATAAGGAACATTCATGCCATGTTTGGTTTCATTCCATTCAGTGGTTCTCTAAAAGAAGTCATTTGTATGCATTTCCCATAGGGTCCTATGTAAAACTAAGTCCCCCGCTGGCAGCCATCTTGGATGATGGATCGGCTACAAAGTAACAACACTTGGTCAACACCTCATAAGGAACATTCATGCCATGTTTGGTTTCATTCCATTCAGTGGTTCTCTAGAAGAAGTTCAAAATGTAAAAAGTTAACGCCGACGACGGACGACGACGGACGACGGACGCCAAGTGATGAGAAAAGCTCACTTGGCCCTTCGGGCCAGGTGAGCTAATAAAATGAACCCATTAATACTCAAAACAGTATTGTTCTCTTTAATACCTGTCATGACCCTTGAAGAATTCTCCAAGAAACCATGAAGGGGGCTACAAGTATGAAAAAGCAATTGAAATTTTGCAGTCTAATATCATGAATAAAGGGAATAAAAAATCAGCCCTCAATTATGATAAAATTGTATTGAAGTAATGGGAGAAATAATTGGGTCCCTGTTCCATATATCAGAGCTCCAGATAAGAATTCACAAATTAGGGTTTTTACCCACCATTTTTTTATGTAATTGGGTGATAAAGTTTTTTAATTGCATTATCAATTCCAATTCACCCCTCAAGCAAATATCAAATTGGGTTTTTCACCACCAAGCTCCTTAATGTATTGGGTTTTTTCATCAACACACTATTGAATATTTAGGCATGTTATAATCATATTATATCAACCCTAGATATGTTTCCATCTTAAATGTGTTTCTTTCTTTGTAGAATATGTGCTAGCTGTTTTATTTAGTTTATTCACTGACGAGAAATTGTACATTTAATTTGTGTCCCGTTTTAAATGTTCTGTCAGTTTTGTATTTTCTCAAAACTTACGTAAACTGCAGCTGGTGTCACTAGTTGGACAGGAACTAATTGCCTTTCTAGATCCCATATGATCACCCTTCAGTTTAGTTATAGTTGGGGTAGGTGTGGCTAAGTGTTTAGATTTTTGTGTAATATATGTGAAATTTAGGTGCTGTAAGAAAGTTTTGCCAGTCCTTTCACCTATTTGCCAGATCTTACTTTTTAATAAAAATAAAAAGTAGTTTCCAGATTTAAGATATACCCCAAAACCTTGAGGTTTATAGAGTGGTTTATAATGACGGAGACCACATTCAACTTAAATTTACAAATAATTCTGCAACATCAAGTAAATAAATGACAATGTTATACTGCACTTGCCAATAAGACAACTATCTTCAGCATCTAGAACAATTAGACCAAAACAAAGAAAGTGTCAAGCTGCATTGACGTAAAAAACGGATATGTGTATTCACTCATCAACTAAAATGAAAAAAATAATATATAAACTGTTTTCGTTTAATTCAATCTACATAAATCTGGGTTAAGTTGTCCCTTATCAGAACTTTTGGTTTCCGATGCTTTCAAACTACATATCATGTCATAATTGATTTGGCCTTTCACTTTTTCCAACTGATTTCGTTTTTGACGGAACCCCGTGTTTATCGCTCTAGCAATGTTCTCGTTATGGTACGCAAACACGCCCGTGCGTTCAATGGCCGCTTCCTAAAATCACTAACTGAGTCTTGTTATCATCATAACTTTCCCTCAGCTATCAAAAAGAAGCCGAAAACATGCTTCTATTCAATATTTTTACCGGACATTTACTTTCGTTTTAATTCATTGTATGTTATGATAAATCCCGAGCAATTCGAAAAAATATGACAGCATGTCACACGCTAATTGGATAAACTCCGAGAAGATCGAAATGTTTTCATAAACACGTGTACCTTTTGAGCAACGGAAAAAGTTCCAACAGGGACCCATTACAGCTATTTGATGCAGGGCTCTATTTTAAGAACGAAAGGACATTTCCGATTATAAATATTATAAAAATAGATTTACGCGATGACTGTAATCAAGTAAGGGTAAATAACGCAAACGGTAGCGAATAAAAGCGTTAAGAACCCATGTTTTTGGCATATAATTGGGTTTTCCTTTGAATTAATTGGGTTATTGAACCCTGCAATGGGCAATTGCATTGGGTTTTTAATTATTTTTATTGCGTGATCACGCAAATACGCAGCTTATCTGGAGCTCTGATATTATCCTTAAATAACCCATTATAAATGTGTGTATAAATACATTTTGTAAAATTTACAGTTTCAACTGATTTGATTTTTGATTTTTGGTGTTTTAACGCCACTTTTAAGCACCGCTTTTGGGCTATTTCGTGGCGGCCAGTTTTTATTGGTGTAGGAAGCCAGAGCGCCCGGAGAAAACCATGACCTTCGATAGGAAAACTGACAATCCTAGTCAATTAAGATTGGAGTCGAGTTCACCTGCACGAGCGGGGTTCGAACTCACAACCTCAGTGTTGACTGGCTAGTGATTACAGTAGTAACTACTTAGACCACTCTGCCACAATGGCCCCTCAGTTTCAACTCTCCTGGTCACTGAGGTAATGAAATTTTCTATAAATTCTTTTGAATCTCCTGCTGTTCAAAAATTTCCACCTTTGCATTGAAATATGCTATAGTTTACTTTTTACAAATCATAATATCGCTTCCAGAGCTATTTTAATCAAATCTTAATGTCGCTTCCAGAGCTATTTTATTTTTCATTTTTTTGGGACTCATTTCTGATAACATCATATTCAGTAAGAAGACACAAACAGAGAAATAATATTCTCAATAGTACAAAACTTCTAATTTTATAAACATGATAGAGGTAAATTATCTTCAATCAAATATGACTTTATACAAATTTCATCCATAAAGTACACTTTGGTCAGCTTAAAATTTGAATCAAATGGATAAACAGCTCATAATGCAAAGCAGAACTCTTGCATAAAAAGACAATCAGCAATTACATTTTACATAATCATGAGTCAGTTATAGAAACTAATTTGCAAATGAATTTCCAGAGCAATTCCAGATATGTATATTTTTTTAAACACATTTGTTCAAGAACACAGTGTACACAAATTGCTAAGAACACAAGCAATTTATTACAATAGATATGTAACTGGACATTATCTACATCATCTAAGGAATCATGGTACATGTAATTAATTGCTGTGATTATTTCCTAACATATTTTGTAATAAACCATTTATATATTACTCATACTGTTTTTTCAAACCTAGAAATTTTGGTGAAGAAATATGTAATTCTAAAATCCAAAATATGTATTCTAAGTTCTCCCAAATTCATCATGCTCCAGAGCTCCAGATAAGAATTCACAAATTGGGGTTTTTACCCACCATTTTTTCATGTAATTGGGTGATAAAGTTTTTTAATTGCATTATCAATTCTAATTCACCCCTCAAGCAAATATCAAATTGGGTTTTTCACCACCAAGCTCCTTAATGTATTGGGTTTTTTTTCATCAACACAATATTGAATATTTAGGCATGTTATAATCACATTATATCAACCCCAGATGTGTTTCCATCTTAAATGTGTTTCTTTCTTTGTAGAATATGTGCTAGCTGTTTTATTTGGTTTATTCACTGACGAGCAATATTAATTGTACATTTAATTTGTGTCTCGTTTTAAATGTTCTGTCAGTTTTGTATTTTCTCAAAACTTATGTAAACTGCAGCTGGTGTCACTAGTTGGACAGGAACTAATTGCCTTTCTAGATCCCATATGATCACCCTACAGTTTAATTATAGTTGGGGTAGGTGTGGCTAAGTGTTTAGATTTTTGTGTAATATATGTGAAATTTAGGTGCTGTAAGAAAGTTTTGCCAGTCCTTTCACCTATTTGCCAGATCTACTTTTTAATAAAAATAAAAGGTAGTTTCCAGATTTAAGATATACCCCAAAACCTTGAGGTTTATAGGGTGGTTTATAATGACGGAGACCACATTCAACTTAAAATCACTAGCTGAGTCTTGTTATCATCATAACTTTCCCTCAGCTATCAAAAAGAAGCCGAAAACATGCTTCTATTCAATATTTTTACTGGACATTTACTTTCTTTTTAATTCATTGTATGTTATGATAAATCCCGAGTAATTCGAAAAAATATGACAGCATGTCACACGCTAATTGGATAAACGCCGAGAAGATCGAAATGTTTTCATAAACACGTGTACCTTTTGAGCAACGGAAAATTTGAACAGGGACCCATTACAGCTACTTGATGCAAGGCTCTATTTTTAGAACGAACGGACATTTCCAATTATAAATATTATAAAAATAGATTTACACGACGACTGTAATCAAGTAAGGGTAAATAACGCAAACGATAGCGAATAAAAGCGTTAAGAACCCATGTTTTTGGCATATAATTGGGTTTTCCTTTGAATTATTTGGGTTATTGAACCCTGCAATGGGCAATTGCATTGGGTTTTTAATTATTTTTATTGCGTGATCACGCAAATACGCAGCTTATCTGGAGCTCTGATGCTCAAACAAGTCTTCATTAGTAGTCTTTCAACAAGTCATTTCATTTCAAATTTATCCTAAAGCAGTTATTACATTTGTAAGATATTGACATCAGTTAACAATATTGCTGAAGTTAAAATGGGTAGCTTCAAAAGACTGTACCTTAGATTTACCATACTGTAAATTCAGAAATTATTGCGTGCATTTATTATTGCCATTTTTGAAGAAAGGACAAAAATGCAATATTAATTATTACAATTTCCTAAAAAATATGCATACAAATATATGTATCAGATATCAGAATGCCAGTTCTTATTATTGCCATAGTAATCGAATCGCATTTTTTGCAATAATTTCTGAATTTACAGTAGATGAACTGCAGCAATTTTGATTTTATCTTTTTAAACAACTCTTCATAAATGAATATAAATTTGACCACTTGCAAGAAGATCAGTTAACACTTCTATGATCATGATGATATCAGTTCCAATGCAAGTTTCAATTTTAAAGAGTATAACTACATGTACCTGGAATGAGGTAGGTATACATATCACTGATAATCCCTCTTCTTTTACTCTTTCGGCTGAAAAAAAAAAGAGATATGTAAAAATAAATTGGAATTGCATGTTCTTGAGAATAAAAATATTTATTTCATTTGTAATTCTAAATAACATGATTTATCTCAAATAACCTTACATGAGTATAATACTAACATTTGACTAAATCAGAAGGTTATATATTCAAATGAATTTAAATAGTTTACTGTTTCTTTACATTGACAAAATTAGGAAATTGGACATCTCATGCACCAATCTTACCACCTTCAATATGATATGTAAGACATTGCCAAAGTAATTACAAACAGACCTGTAGCAGGGGTGGAGTATGGGGGGTGCATCAAACTCATATAATCAAAGAGCTGAAAGCTCTGAGGAAAAATGACGCCACTGTCTCTAATATTGTGATATTTTTTATGCAAGTCTTGATTTTCACATACAGTAATAAGTTTAACATTGCAACATGTCTCGTAAGCATATAATTGATATTCCTATATGTGTCTGTTTTTTCAGTACAAATGAATAGGTCAAGACTACCTGAATGATCTACAGTATCCAATTACTACTGGCTGTTTTTTTGTATAAATAAATAGGTCAAGACTACCGGAATGATCTACAATATCCAATGACTACTGGCTGTTCTTTTGTACTAATAAAAAGGTCAAGACTATTTGAATGATCTACAATATCCAATGACTACTGGCTGTTCTTTTGTACATATAAATAAAGACTACCTGAATGATCTAAAGTATTCTAAGTAATGTGATTTTTTTCTTGCAATTACATTTTTCTAAATCAAGAATATAGACTACTAGTATCATTTTCAAACCAAATGATTATGAAGAGCCTGTTGTTAGCAAGCTCTTATACCCCACATACTCATTAAATAAGTTACTAGTGACCTAGTTATTTCTGTTACTTGAAGCAAATTATATTTCTGTATATTTAGACAATAGTATAATATTGTTTTACTAGTTTTATTTCACCTTGAAGATTAGACAAATAGGGATACTCCTTCGATTTTTTATTTCATGTCAGTCAGGTCGCTTTATATGAAACTTGAAACCACTTCTCTGTCATATTGTTATTTTATAACAACTCTGCCCTTGACCATGTTGACCCATGTAATTGATATTCATTCTTTAACCATACATGTATATCATAGTCAGTTAGTTTTTGATTTTGCACTCCCACACCACCTTTCATGTCTTTCAGGTCAAATGTCTGTCTCCATTTAAGTTAATGACATTGAACAATCATGGTATTAAACACAATTTCAATAGTGATAATGCTGTTCTCGTGGGTCACCATATATTCAACTTTGGTAGCATTCCAGTTATTGAAATTTGTGTCAGATTAGAACAATGATCTAGATCTTTAGGAATGGATCTTATTATTTAATATGGAGCCATAGTATGGGACCCCTACACGGTAACAAAAAAAAAACAAGCTTGAAAGGATACAATGTCAAGCGGCAAAATCTATCACCAGAGATTACAAGTCAAAAGAGGATGGACGGGATACGTCTCTAAAATGCTTGCTGAACTGGAACTACAGCAAGATCTCCAGACAAGACGAACAAAGCGTTGAAGCCAGAAGTTAATATTTATGTAAAAAGTAGTTGAGGGGCTGATTCCCGCTATTGAACCATACTGTCATTCTATAATATCATTGCATATTTCTGTATTGGCCTTGTTATTGGTCCATGTCTTGGGTGTATTGGTCTGAGGCGAAGCGGAAGGCCAATACTGCTGGCCGAGGACCAATGATAAGGCCAATACAGAAATACACGTAATAGTATCTTTATTAATTAACTACAGTGTTACAATATTTTTTTTATTTCATTTCACAAGAGATAAACATTTTTACCTTGAAGTGGAACTATCCAAATCTCAGTTTTCTTTTATAAGATGCAATATCTAATGATTCCGTGCCGTTTGACTGCTGGCCGAGAACCAATAATAAGACCAATACAGAAATACACGTAATAGTATCTTTATTAATTAACTACAGTGTTACAATATTTTTTTAATTTCATTTCACAAGAGATAAACATTTTTACCTTGAAGTGGAACTATCCAAATCTCAGTTTCTTTTTATAAGATGCAATATCTAATGATTCGGTGCCGTTTGAAGTATCTTCAGCCTTTTCTCATCTGATGAATTTTTCTACCCTTTCCAGTCACTATAAAGTGTTACAACTTTAATTTAGACACAACACATAAATAGTAATTGGAAAGGTACTGCCATTTTATGTGTAATGCAAATATATTTTAAAAAAAAATAATGTAAGAGTTGAAATTGAAACTATCCATAAGCCAATTGACCAAAGAACGAAGATTTGCACAATTACAGAATGCATATGCCTGGTTCGGATTTAAAAATAAACGACCGTTTAAATACAAAACATAAGAAGCGACAGTAAACAGTAAAAATCGATTTGTACCATCGACATTATGAAATTATGAGGTCGTCAAGAAATGAACTTTGTGATAATTTACTCGTTCCCCAAACCTGAAATAATCCCATCGTCTACTTTAAAATGCTTTTTAAATGAATGGGACCGTCTTTAACCTAAAATATATGCCATACTGAACGTTTCAGCTTGTTTATGGTGAGTAAACCTGCGTCTTACAAACAACTGTTTACTTTCAGTTTGAGTTTATCGTGACTTACGATCTAAAAACTAGAGACGTTCCGAAATCCTGTTTGTAAACAAAGATTCATACGCACCGCCTGGGTATAACCGTATTACTAATTTCCGATTTTTAAAATCTTCGTAAATCTGGATAAAGACCAGTTTCTATCCAATGGATATCAAAATGATTCTGATTTTCACTTTTTTTAATGATTGTAAAGTTGAAATGGCATGAAAGGCTGACATTATTTAGGAGAACTATTTTGTCTAGCGATTGCTGATCATTGGAGGGTAAAAAGTCCAACACCATAACAAAACGGATCTATTTATCATGTATACATACCAATTGTTTACGATTGTAAGACATGTGCATAAAAGTGAAAGCTCGAATAAATATGAAAAACATAACAAAGGGATAGCTCCAAATACCATTTAATAACAAAAAGCATATGGACAGGTCAAGATATCTTTTTGGTAAATAAAAAAAAGTATGTAAACTGGTTCCCGTCCGACTGCAACACTTTGTTCGAGTGTAGCGTAATACAAGCAGATTCCAGTTAGTATGTACAATAGTAAATATGAAACCGAGTGCGGTAGGCGGAGACAATAATCAACTTCTGTAAGTTCTGGTCAATGGTATTGGAAACATGCCGCTGATAGCGTCATTTTCCAAAAACTAAAAATACTACTAGACTATTAAACTTGAGATTCAGATTGATGTTTGACTTTCAAAGTCAGTGTCATGACCAAATAAACTCCCTCAGAGACATCATGGCTACCACTCTGACAATAACATGAAATAAAACAACTTAAAATGGCACACAACTGCAGTGACTGGAGACACTAAATCATGATTGAAAATAACTAGGTTCTATCTTACCTATTCTTTGTACAGCAAATACAATGGTGGAGCCACTTCCTATACCCACAACTTGAGATGTCTGTAAAATATTGAAAAGATGGATCAACCCAATAACAGATAATTTTGCTTTTTACAGAAAAAAATACATTATACTTATATACTATGTAGTTTAAAGCCAATATATATATAGTAAGTATAGAATATAGTCAAAGTACAAGGTCATAATCAGGTCAACTAGAAGTGAAGTTATCCTAGACTTAGGCCTAATAAAAAATACTTGTTTCCACTAGGGGCTGTTCCAGATTTAATTGAATGGGGGGATGGTAGGCGCTCAAATCAATAAATTGTGGGTGATTGAATTTTCTTTAGAATTTTGTAAAGAATTATATAATGAAAATTTTATATTATCATGATTTATGCATGGTGGTTGGGGTTAAAAAAAACAATGCCTCCCTTCCCCCCATGCATTTAAATCTGGAACAGCCCTAACTATATCTACCCTAAAGGTTTATTTGTCATTTTTGATATAATGGTTCAAGCCCTTTCAAACTGATTTTTACAGATATAAATTTGTTATATTGTGCTGTTACACCGCTGTCCAAGGTTAGGGGAGGCTTGGACTTGAGCCCTCATAAATGTGTTTAACCCCACAACATGCTTTATGTGCCGGTCACATGTCAGGAGCCTGTAATTCAGTGGTTGTCGTTGGTTGCTGTTGGTCATTATTTTATATTGGTAATAAATCAGGTTTTCTTGTTTGAATTAGTTTCCTTTTTTGTCATGATAGGGCCTTTTATAAAGCACAAAGGCCTTATTACGGTAAATTGCTGTGATCAAGCCCTTTTTTTAAGCGATGAAGGGAATGGGTGCTGATCTGGCCAAAACCACCTGTGGTCGAACTGGTTGTGTGGCCAAAACGTCTGGAAAGATAAATTTCCACTAAAAAAGGAACTGTATGCAAGAGTATATTCAAAGTTTAGTAGCTGTTGGAGGCCATGCAGTGATCTAAAGTTGCTTACATCCAGGTTATTTGGACTCAGTTGAATAGTTGTCTCCATGGCTAGCATAACCTCGTATTACGGGTTTTCGTGCTATTTAGAATTCATTGTGACATCACAATTTCCACTGAAAAAGCATGCATAGTACAAATTCATATGACATACGAAAACATATGATCTGACAATACACATGATACATGTACCACATCTCATTATTCAGGTCAGGAATAATCATCAATTGGTGGATTATACCTCAATTGACGTATAATCCACCAATTGACACATATTGGTATAGACCAATTGACGTATAATGCAAGTTTTTTGTTATAAAATGCTAGTGTGAGATAGGAGCATCATTTTGCAACTTACAACCTATTTTATGACCATTATTGAGTCCTCCGAAAGTTTCAGTTTTGTCAAAGCCTGCTGCATCTCTTGAGAATGCATGTGTACAACAATTCTTTTGTTGAAACATCTGTACTATTGACCACGATTGACTTTTAATAATGAAAGTTAAGTATTAACAAAGAGCTTCATTCACCTGTGGAGTTGTACTCATAATCACATGACTGCAGTCAGTATTGATGTCCATTGACAGGTGATTAGTGGTAAATTTGCCAATCAAGAATTGACAAGGTAACAATAGAAGAAACTGCAAATACAATTATTGATTAAATGCAATATGTTATGTCACTATACTAAACTAGGAATGTTTGACATGTTTTCATACAATAATATGGTTTTAAGAAAACAATGCTCCATTTTGGTTGAATAATTTGCTTTGAAAAACAAAGAATTATACGTCAATTGGTCTATACCATTATATGTCAATTGGTGGATTATACGTCAATTGAGGTATAATCCACCAATTGGTGGTTATTCCTGACCTGTTATTCTTATAAATTATTAGAAACAAAACAGTTTAATTCTGGAAAGATTTTAATAACCCTCCAAGACTCATAATCATTTAGAATCAGTTTTTAGTATTAAAATAGCATTTCAAGGGATCACAATGACATGTATTTGTATTACTATTAGTCTTTATTAGATAAAAAAAAATGTGTTCACTCATGACATGTTTTGAGATGATATCAAACCTTCACGTGATTGTCAACAGCTGCTCTTGCTGCAGCCGCTTTTCCTCTGTTTTTAGCTTCCATCTGGAATGAATAATTACGACTGACAATTAGTTTGAAACTATTCTGCACCAAGTTATTGAGGAAAGACTTTCGCGCAATTCTCATTCTACAATGAATGGTAAATTTCGGAGAAACCCGAATGGTGAAATTTAAACCAAAATCGGTAACGGAAAAGAATCAGATTTTACTTTTTAATATTGTTATGATATCTCCGACTTGTGTAAAAAAAAACTTAGTTTAAAGAAAAGATTTTCAGCCATAAACTGTTCTTGATCTCAATACTGCAAAATTACACCATGAACATGCACATAAGCATAGCAAAGTAAAAATGTTCAGATACACTATACACGGAATTTGCGCACTGCGGAATATCTCTGACTTTTCCTACTCAGTAAGCCACACGTGGATTGTTATTGATGTCAACAGACGTATCCTGTAAAATGTCAAACCGAAAAACTTTCCGAGTTGGTTCTAGGAAAAGTCAGGTAAGGATCTAAATATTTAGTTATGAACAATACTTTCATATGTGTTGAGACAATAAACATTAAAATGAGAAGTAATTTTACATAACATGGAGATGTTAGACTCAGAGGTCACGATATGTTACGTCATCGAGAATGTAATGAACTTGTTGGGTATTGATAAGGAAATGACCAAACTTTTTTTTATTATGAGAAACACATGTGGAACAAGCATTAAGTATCTTAAACACATTCCCTATCACTCAAACCGGTTTTGACCAGGATGTATAAAAATTGCTACATCTCCTCTTTCTGGTGTATACATGTACAATTGATTCAGGTGTAATATTTATATTCTCTTTTGTTTTGTTCTTTGCAAGTACTTGAATTGGGTGCTAAAGTGAAAGGCACCTGATCCACTGCTGTTTGTAAACAGATCTATGTTAAACATGCCCCATATACAGTATTGTTGGTTATTACTATATTAGCTTGCCATCCATTCCAAAACCCTTGATCTGCCATTGAAAATCAAACCTTGTAATAATGTTATTAAATATTTTACTAAGGATTTAAAAATTCTATTGAAAGTCTGATCTTAAAAAAAAAATTGAACACTTTTAAGAATGTGTAAGTAAAAAGAAAATTTTTATCATTATGTTAAAGTTTCATTGAAAACATTTTTCTTGGTGCAAGACTTGAAGTTTTAGGGACAAAAATAGAAATATCTTAAATGGAATGCAGTTAAAAACCAATAAGTATTCATTTATGAATTACTTGAACCTAAAATCTATTTTTTTCAAATTTGTTATTTAAACAGAAATTTTCTGCACTCATAGCAAAAATAGAGATACATGTATTTTGTAATATCCTTGGTTCAGGACAAAAAAATTGATATGTAGCTTAGTAACTAAAGTTAGCTCCATCTCTTTTTATTTAGTGAAATAAATAGTCTATTAAAAACAGTTGCTGATGCTGAACTGCTTTCACTTGTTTGACCTACGCAAATGTGTAATATTTTATGAATCTGTGTTCTAACTATATCATATTCTGAATATTACATGTACATGTATGTGTTTGTTTTGTTTAAAAAGAACGGTTGTTTGAAATGAAGAAAAAACACGTGTCTGGCATACAACATTTTAATCCTGGTACCGATGATGAGTTTAATTATAACCATCAGAATATCCCAGCATACATGTCATGCATGTACATTGTATGTACATGTACCCAACTAATTGTGCCAAAAAATAATATGAATTTTGGGGATATATTAAAAGGTGCAATAAATGATATAATACATTGTGTTATTATTAGGGACTGTCTTTAGTCATGTTAGTTATATATGAATGTCTTTGTCCCTTTAATAAAAATAACTTGTCAATTATTCACCCAACACTGCTAAAGGATTTATTTCGGATTACAGGTACATTGAATGTTAGGGATGTACATAGTACATTGACGTATAGCTAGTTGTTTTGAAAATAGATTCCATTAGCCTTTAACTATTAACATTTGTACATGTACATGTACTAAGATAAAATCAAGACTGAATTTTTATCATTTTCATTCTTCCATAAAACTGATGAAAAACCTTAGTCCTATAAAGGTAAAGAATGTATTCATGTTTAAATTGTCATTATCAAGTACTTTATCTCAATCATTTATTTAAATGAATGTCCACATCCATCTTCCTTATAAAAAACAGTTTGTCTTGTTTTGCATACAATGTAGCTAAAAATGTATGTTACCAGGCAATTCTAAAAAAACATATATAACAAATTACAAAAGTAGCACATTGATGACTTTTTAAAACAGTTATTCATACATGTTCATGTCATGCATCATGTGCATGCATTTCATGTTTTGTAAATTAAGAAAAACAACAGCATAAGTATGACACTGATCAATGCTAAAACATAAATACTGAACAAGATTTAATTGATCCTTGCATAGTTGGGATGGTTGCTTTATCATTGACATTTTCCCCATGATTACATCACCATGAATGCACATATACCATTTGTAGTTTGTATTTTCTTTAATTTGTCAATATCATCTCCGATTATTATTATTCCCAGACATGTGTTTCAGTGCACAGATATAGTGTTTTCAATAAGCAAAAAATTTAGCTTGAATCAAAACTTATCTATTTATTAATGGTGGCTCAATGACCTTCTGGACATATATCCTGCCCAGATATTTTTATTTTTAAGAACCCTAGAGCTGGAGGTAATTGTATGATATTTTACAATACTTCTGTGTTTGATTGATTGTTATGTGACATGTTGTCCCTTGACTTATAATAATTGATTGTAGTTTTATAGTCGTCTTATATATATTTATGATCATATAGAAAAATTCTTGTCCTTTTGAAGAATTACATTTTTTTTTTGCTATTTTTAAAATGTGAATTGTTGGACATGTTGGAAGAATATGAAGTTTAATTGTAATTCATGTATTGTGAAGTTTAATTGTAATTCATGTATTGTTAACATTTTAACCAGTTTGTATCTAAATGTAACAGTGGTGACTGGTCATGTTAACATGTGTATATGATTTCCATAGTCATGCAGACTAAAACAAATCTGTGGACAGCATGTTACATTTTTAATAATGTAAAATCATATATGGTTCAAAAGACAATATTTCTGATGATAAGATATATAGTGGTTGCAATTGCTTGGCTATAATTTCTATCAGACACTATTCAAAAGCTTGTCCAACCGAAATAAAATTCTTCAAAATTGTGAGGTGATCAGACAGAATTTGAAACCTTCCATTGTCATGATTATGGAACTTAGTTTGCTGAAAAGATAAAACATATTAATGATTTATTGATAGTATTTGTATCATACATTGTATATACTGATATGTACATGTCAGTCTTAATGGGGTCTAGCTGGCTGACTGGTCTAGTAAAAAAATGTAGTTACTCTACAATGTACTATATCACTATCAGTGACTATAGCCTGTCAATACTGAGGTTGTGAGATCAAACCAAGCAAGTGGCAGGTACATTCACATTTTACTCAAATCTTATTGACTAGGACAATGTAGGATTTTCAGTTTTTATGCCAAAGGTTAGTAAGGTTCTCTCTACAGACTCTTGCTTCATCCACCAATAAAAAACTGGCTGCCATTATAAAGACAAGTGTGTAAAGTGGCATTAAACACCAACAATCAATAAATCGATTTCAGTCTAAAATTTGCTTTTGAAGATAGAACATGTAGAATGAGAATTTAAATCCTGTAAGGTTCCAGTCATTAGTTATGTTTGTAGAAAACATTTGAGCAGTTTTTTTTGTCCCTAAGCCATGCTAGTAGAAAAACCTAGTCAAATGTCAATAGAAATTGTAGAAAATAACTCCCCAATTCAGGATAGCTTATACCTTTACTTTATATACTTCATGAAGTACAACAATATTGATAGTTTTGGTTTGTATAGATGTTTTATATGAAAAAGTTCTTCATACATGTAAAACGTACAAATGTAATACATGTAATATGTTAAAGAAATCACCACTAGAAATGGATTGATTGATTGTTTTGTTTTAAAACTATTTTTTTAGCAGCCTTGTTAACAACATTCTGCCAGATTTTATTGGTAGAGGGAAGCAGAGTACCTGAAGACCTTGCACAGGAAAACTGCAAATCCTAGTCAATTTAATATAAGGGTCGGCATCAAAAGCACTTGCCACAAGTGGGGTTCAATCTTACAACCTCAGTGTTGACGATAGTGATTACTGAAGATGAATTACTTAGACCATCATGATTTGTCTACAGAGCAGATTAGGCCATATTAAATGTTAAGTAAATGGTGGTCTATGTACATGTACATGTATCAACTTTTATTGGATGATGTCCATCTTGATTGTATTAAAAATGTTTGCTTTTTTGTCATTACAGTTAGCCCTGATACAGACAAACTCTGTTATAGACGCTTTGAAGAAAGTCACTCAGGATGTTGACTTTGAAATTGGTAGGTAATTTAAACATTAAAATGAAAATTAGACTTCGATATCCTTATTTTAAGTGGTATAAAAGTTACAAAGCATGATTTCCAATAATTACAATTTAATGGCTTAATTTTAAAGGAAATGTTTTTATTCTAGCAACTGAAACATTCGCTGGAGTGTAAACAAGGATATACAACATTTTGTACATTGGTTGTTTATTTTTAGTACGTCATCAATTTACCTCAGCGGTATATTATCCATTGAAAGCTTTTAAAGACACGACTTTAACAATTGAAAATAATCCTACCTGTGAATTAAAAAATTATCAGTGAAATATTAGGACTTTTTCAATAGTAATAATGTCATTCAACTCTAAATATAGATCTGTGACGTATACAATTGAATTTTTTTTTTCATAAATATGTTATAAATATTATGCAAAAAGACTTTACAAAAATGAAAAGTAATCAATAAAACAGATCAATCAATGTGCTTATATATTTTAACAAGATAATAACAAAGAGGTTTCAATGTTTTTTCTATTAATTTAAGGTTCCACCAACACAAGTTGCGTGTATTTTGATAATGGGAAATTCAGAATATTTTGTGTAAAACTAACATCAAATACAAGTATGAAGTTTCTTTCATTGTCATGATTGTCGTACAGTTATATTGAACTTTGAAAGGTCCATCAGTTTCCATATCAAAACTATAGAAGGTTCTTTTAAAGTTGCAAAGCCCATGGGCAATTCATTGTTGTTGATTTCGGAGAAAAACAAAACACAAAAAGCATAAACCATTTTAATCTGCCTGTAAAGGTAAGAAAAACTGCTAATGGAGTAATGTGATATACATGATTATCATATATATGGTAGACTGTAGAACTGCAGTAGACCAATTGGCATTAAAAAAAAAATGTTTTACTATGTCTATTGCTGTGTGTTTGTTTATTCTACATTCTACATTGGCTAGAGGTATGGGGGGAGGGGGGAGATCTCATAAAACATGTTTATATAACTCTACCACATTTTTGCACCTGTCCCAAGTCATGAACCTCTGGCCTTTGTTAGTCTTTCATGTTTTTTTTAATTTTGGTTCATTTATATGTTGCGGAGTTTAGTGTGACATCCATTTTCGCTGAACTAGTACACATTTTTGTTTAGGGGCCAGCTGAAGCCCACCTCCGAATGCAGGATTTTCGCACTGTGTTGAAGACCCATTGGTGGCCTTGGCCTGTTCTCTGCTCTTGGGAAGGGTCTTTGACACATTCCCCTTTTCCATTCTCAATTTTATTTGTTTTCAGTTTTTGGGTATGCATATATAATGGCAGATGAAAGATCTCTTTATGACAATTAACAGAGTAAATGCAAAATTACCCATTATTGTGAAATATTGTTTGTTTTCATTGCAAAACTGTGGATGTGATACTGTTTTTGCATCATGAATGTTCATATACAAATGTACATCGTTTACTAAAGGATGAAAAGGATACACTTTTTTTATTGTTTGTAATTTTGAAAAGGTACCAGCTGACCAGATTTTTACACAGAACATATGTACAATCAATGTATATTGTATTATGATTGGTAAATTATTTAAGTTCAGGCAAAAGTTTTACAGAACAGTTTAACTGTTTTAATCAAGATCAATGATTTATAAATGAAAATCACTAGTTCATTTACATGTAGAAGTCTGATCAAATTGTTAGGCTTGGTCTTTTCAACTAAAAACTTAAAAAATCATGTAACTTGTGCTTGTAATGTATATCAAAGTTGTTAAGGCATGCTAATTGTCTAATATGCATGTTTGTATTCCAAAAGTAATATTGATCAAACGACCTACTTTTTATACGACCGCAAACAAATTTTTGTGGTCGTATATTGGTATGATGTTGGCGTCGTCGTCCGGCGTTGTCGTCGTCGTCCGAAGACACATTAGTTTTCGCACTCTAACTTTAGTTTAAGTGAATGGATCTCAATGAAATTTTACCATAAGGTTCAATACCACAAAAGGAAGGTGGGGATTGATTTTGGGGGTTATGGTACCAACAGTTAAGGAATTAGGGGCCAAAAAGGGGCCAAAAATAAGCATTTTTGTAACTTCCAGACATAACTTGTGTGTAAGTGTATGGATCTCTCTGACATTGTACCACAAGGTTCCATATCACAAAGGGAATGCTGGGATTGATTTTGGGGGTAATTGCCTCCAAATTTTAGGAATTAGGGGCCAAAAAGGGGCAAAAAACAAGCATTTTTCTAGTTTCATGACAATAACTTGTGTGTAAGTCTATGGATCTCTCTGACATTGTATCACAAGGTTCCATATCACAAAGGGAATGCTGGGATTTATTTTGGGGGTAATTGCCTCCAAATTTTAGGAAAAAGGGGCAAAAAACAAGCATTTGTCTAGTTTCATGACAATAACTTGTGTGTAAGTGTATGGATCTTTATGAAATTGTACTACAAGGTTCCATATCACAAAGGGAAAGCTGGAATTGAGTTTGGGGGTAATTGCCCAAAAAGTTTAGGAATAAGGGGCCAAAAATAAGCATTTTTCTAGTTTCCAGACAATAACTTGTGTTCAAGTGTATGGATCTCTCTGAAATTGTACTGCAAGGTACCATACCACAAAGGGAAGGCTGGGATTGATTTTGGGGTTAATTTCCTCAAAATTTTAGTAATTAGGGGCCATAAAAGAGCAAAAAAACAAGCATTTTTCTAGTTTCAGGACAATAACTTGTGTGTAAGTGTATGGATCTTTAGGAAATTGTACTGCAAGGTTCCATATCACAAAGGAAAAGCTGGGTTTGAGTTTGGGGGTAATTGCCCTAAAGGTTTAGGAATTTGGGGCCAAAAAGGGGCAAAAAAACAAGCATTTTTCTAGTTTCCAAACAATAACTTGTGTTCAAGTGTATGGATCTCTCTGAAATTGTACTGCAAGGTACCATACCACAAAGGGAAGGCTGGGATTGAGTTTGGGGGTGATGAATCATAAGGGGGTACCGGTTCAATTTGGGGGGGGGGATTTTTTTTTCTTTAAAATTTTCCATTTTAAATTGGTTATTTCTGATTTATATATAAAAGCAAATAATAATGATATGGTTTGAATAGGTAAATTAAAAATTTTTAAGTTCTTAGACCACTTTCATTCTGTGTCAGAAACCTATGCTGTGTCAAATATTTAATTACAATCCAAATTCAGTGCTGTATCAAGCTTGAATGTTGTGTCCATACTTGCCCCAACTGTTCAGGGTTGGACCTCTGCGGTCGTATCAAGCTGCGCCCCAGCGGAGCATTTTATTTAAACTGGGTTAGTTGTTAAGGTCACATTTTGCTTCACAAATTCATGTCAATTTTTATTTAAATTTGAAAACAGTATAATAAGAAGATCATGAAGATAGAATTATAACTTCAATAAAAAAAATCCATGCTTTTTGTATTTTAAGATACTTTGTACATTCAAACAAGGATACATAATTATTTATTCTTTTTTTTTTTTTTTTTTTGGTGAATACTTGTCTTATTGACCATCATACCACATCTCCTTAATTTTATATAGATTTTTGGAACAGTCAACTAATGTTTGTTTTTACATTTTTCAGTGTCCATGTCTACAACTGGTGACAAAATACTGGATATTGCTTTATCAAAGGTATAAATGTACATGTTTATGTTAAGTGGTCCAGGGTTCATAATATAAGTGTTAACAATCAGGACAATAAAGACATGGTAGATAAAAGTTTGATAAAGTAGGAAACCTCTTGAAAATCTGTTACATATATTAATATATTAATTCATTAAAGATAATACCTTGTTTTTCTTCCCAAATATTTAAACATCATTGATTTACATGTACAAATACAAAAATTTCCTTGTTAGAAAAAAGAAAGTTGAAAGACATGTTACTGAAGAAAAAGTAGTGACTTGAATACATGTTTTATTGCTGAAGGCAGTTGTAAATTTGCAAACTTTATTTACATGTATATAATGACATGACAATATAAGTCAGACTTATTGTTAGTCTTCCTTGTAAACATTCAGTTATGATATATTGATCTATTATTGAATAGCTATAAAGTGCTCCAGGAACCATACATATATTTACATTGACTGTCTATTTTAAAGATACCTTTTGCTGTAAGCTATCAAGAAACTTGACCTGTTTTTCATGATTCTTCAAAAGTCAACTGGTATAATTACAAGACTTTCTAACCTGTTTTTCATGATTCTACAAAAGTCAACTGGTATAATTACAAGCCTTTCTAGTCATAAAACATAGAAATGAAAAATGGCCAATGGTTTTATCTAATTCACATCTAAAAAATATATGTTCAGAGCATTTTAAGTCCTGCACATCAAATATATAAATTATTTAGAACACCCACCCCATACAACATGTACGATTCAAATATATAAGAAAGATGTTTTTATTTTGCCCATCAAGTTCTGTTGGTAACCTGTCACATTTATATGTTTAGATTGGAGAAAAGAATCTCTTCACAAGAGAGTTGGAAGTTGCCTTAGAAACTAAACAAGTTGACATGGTTGTACATTCATTGAAAGACTTGCCCACTACCTTGCCTGAAGGATTAATGATAGGAAGTGTGTGCAAGTAAGTTTGTTTGAAGTAATGTAATCATGGTAATAGAAAGTAGCATAATGCCTTTTTCAGAGACTTGTTGTTTTGTTGTCGAGCCTGCAACTTTTGTCGCAGAAAGCTTGACATAGGGAAAGTGATCTGGCGGCTGTGGCCTCGGCGGCGTTAATTGACTACTTAAAAGCTTAATATTTCAGAAGTTAGAAATTCTGGATGCTTCATACTTTGTATATAGATGCCTTATGTTATGAAGTTTCTGTTTGTCATATGTCCTTTGTCCTTGACCTCATTTTCATGGTTCAGTGCACATGACTACTTGAAAAAAGTTAAGATTTTTTGTAATGTTAATTTCTCTCTTATTATGAGTAATAGGATAACTATATTTTGTATGTGCATACCTTGCATAGTCCTTATGCCTGACAGACAGTTTTCACTTGACCTCATTTCATGGATCAGTGAACAAGGTTAAGTTTCCTTGGTCAAGTCCATATCTCAGATACTATAAGCAATAGGTCTACTATATTTGGTGTATGGAATGATTGTAAGGTGTACATGTCTAACTGGCAGGTGTCCTTTGTCCTTGACCTCATTTTCATGGTTCAGTGACTACTTGAAAAAAGTTAAGATTTTTTGTAATGTTAATTTCTCTCTTATTATGAGTAATAGGATAACTATATTTTGTATGTGCATACCTTGCACAGTCCTTATGTCTGACAGACAGTTTTCACTTGACCTCATTTCATGGATCAGTGAACAAGGTTAAGTTTCCGTAGTCAAGTCCATATCTCAGATACTATAAGCAATAGGTCTACTATATTTGGTGTATGGAATGATTGTAAGGTGTACATGTCCAACTGGCAGGTGTCATCTGACCTTGACCTCATTTTCATGATTCAGTGGATAAAGTTAAGTTTTTGTGTTTTGGTCTATTTTTCTAATACTGTATGCAATAAGCATGATAAGTCAGCTATATTTGGTGTATGGAAATATTTTATGATGTACATGTCAGTCTGGCAGGTTTTAATTTGACCTTGACCTCATTTTCTCAGTACATTGCTCAATGTTAAGTTTTTGTGTTTTGGTCTGTTTTTCTTAAACTATAAGCAATAGGTCAACTGTGTTTGTGTATGGAATGATTGTAATGTTTATATATCTGTCTTGCAGGTATCATCTGACCTTTTTTATGGCTCATTTGTCAATGATAAGTTTTCGTGGTTAAGTTTGTTTCTTAGATACTATATTTGATACATCATCTATGTTTGATCCATGGAATGATTGTAAAGTGTACATGTCTGTCTTGCAGGGTTCATCTGACCTTGACCTCATATTCATAGTTCATGGGTCAATATAAAGTTTTCATGGTTTGGTCTGTTTCATGTATACTATAAGCAATAGGTCAACTATATTCAATGTATGGAATCACAGATTGTAAGGTGTACATGTATTTCTGGTATGGTTTATCTGACCTTGACCTCATTTTCTTGGATCATGATAAGTTAATGTGATACTTGTAGTAAAACTTTATATTTAGGGCTATCAACATAAAATCAATGGCAGTAAAGCAGGCGAGACATTTCTGAGTGTGCACTCTTGTTCATATACAAATGTAAAAAAAATGCAAGTGCTATTTCTTTATAAAGTTACCTGGCATTTTACTGGTAATTGATTTAGAACAAATTTTGAAATGCATTTATTTTGCAACTACACAAAAACCACAGTACATGTAACAGCAAAGATGCAACATATACAACATAAATGTCCAGTTTTCAGTTTCAAAAGAGTTTATACAATATAGTTATCATATATGTTAAACAAGTTGTTAACAAATTAAACAAGATACAAAATAAGATCCCTTGTAAAACATATAAATCATGTCTAATATGGGATGATTCATTTAGAATATTTAATTGGGCTGTAGGCTATGCATGGTTACTTCTTGTTAGAAGGAATGACATGGGAAAAGGCTGGAAAAAAAAATGAAATGCAAGTGTTGAAGTCTTAATAATGCTGTTATGATAAAGAATTAAAGAAAAAAAAGTCTTGTACAAAGTTCCATTTTGAAGCAATCAATTTCTCAAATATATGTGAAATTTGCACCTACATGTAAAAACAAGTTCCAAATATATATATCCCACCATTTCTATTCTACATTTAAAACTAACAGAACAGCATTAGAATGTGATAAAAATTACAGGATATTTAATTACTTAGCCTTTACTTTAAAGTTAAAATAAAAAATGAGTATCTTCATAATAGTATATGACAGTGAATAACATTCTCTTAATTTTTTTTAACAGAAGGGACAGTCCTTATGATGCTGTTGTAATGCATCCTAAACATAAAGGCAAACAAATACAAGATTTAAAAGACGGAAGGTTAGTACCTTTATCAATGTAGTATTTATATTTAGAATTTATAATTGTTATTAAGAATGTCATAATGATACTAGTATCAGTGGTTCCCAAGGCTTTGAGAAATCAACTGGACATTTGGTCCAGTAAACCATTCTTCTTAACTGGACCAGACTCTTTTTTACAGGACATTACACATATGATTTGGACAAAATCAAAAATTTAAACGGTCGTTTGGTCCAGTAATGCATATCACTTAACTTGACCAAACCGATTTTTACTGGACTTTGCCCTATGTCTGTCAACCTTGGGAATGACTGCTAAACATGCTGCATATCTCAACATGATAAAAAGTAGATATCAAATTTTACAAAATATTTGAGTTATCCCTCTTTGTATATGGGTACATACATGTATCTTCAGTGAATGAATTTCAAGTAAAATGAAGTGAGCTGTTCAGTTTTACCACAAAGTATATCTCAATTATTTCATATATTTCCCAATCTGATTAAAATTCAGATCCTGTGTCCATGCTAGGCTTACAAGGATCTAACAACACCAAAATTTACTATTATTCTGGTGATTACTGTAAATTCAGAAATTATTGCGAGGTTTTATTAATGCGAATAATGCGACTGGGTGAGTATCGCAATAATAAAAACTCGCATTTTGATTTCTAATACATAATACTGTATGCAGATTTTCCTGAAATCACAATAATTAATCTCGCATTATTGTCCGTTTTTAAAAAGTTGCAATAATAAATGCACACAATTATTTCTGAATTTACAGTATTACATCTGCCAATGAATTTTCTACCTCAAAATTTTTGAAGGTGAGTTTCATTACGACAAAACAAGAGGATTATGAAAGGTCTTTAAAAACTGAAAGTAGAGTGTTGTAAAGATCCTTGTAAGCAAAGTGTGTACACAGAATCTTAACTTCAATCAGATTGGGAAATATATGAAATAATTTAAATTAAACTTTTCTATTTATGGCATTTTTAAGGGTTTAAAGGTAATTAATGATAGAAATATAGATGACAGACATATCGAGATATGATGCAGCCGTTTTAGTTTATTAAAGAGATGTTAGACCTTGTTTTGTATGATGAAATAATAGGTAGTAAAAATTTAAGACAGATAAAAACACTTATTTGTGGAATGAAATGTTCATGTTTTTTGAATATGTGATTTTGTAATTTTAGTGTGATTGGGACCAGTTCTTTGAGAAGACAATCACAGCTACAGAGGAAATACCCAGGCCTTACATTTGAGAGCATTGTATCCTTTGTCTATCTGTTTAAATTTTGGTGAAGAAAACATATTAAAGGATATACAGATACACATATTTTAACAGAATTATTTAAATTTATAGGTTTAGCATTAGAAGTGGATAAAATCTATGTTAATTCAGTTTGATAGATGATTTAAGCTAAATTTATCTGATTTACTTTTGATGTATTTCATTTCTTTTTATAGAGATTGTTAAATGTCAGTTTTCTGTGCTTTTAAAGTAGAATAAAATTGAAAATGGAAACGGGAATGTGTCAAAGATACAACAACCTGACCAAAGAGCAGAAAACAGCCCAAGGCCACCAATGGGTCTTCAACACAGCGAGAAAATCCCACAACCGGAGGGGGGCTTCAGCTGGCTCCTAAACAATAATGTATACTAGTTCAGCGAAAATTGACATCAAACTAGACTCCTAAACATATGAATGAACCAAAATTTAAAAAATACATACATGACTAACAAAGGCCAGAGGTTCCTGACTTGGGACAGGTGCAAAAATGCGGTGGGGTTAAATATGTTTTGTGAGATATCAACCCTCCCCTATACCTCTAACTAATGTGGAATAAACAAACACACAGCAATACCCACAGTAAAACTCAGTTTAAAAGAAGTCTGAGTCCGATATTAGAATAGGTAACAGAAGAAACTAAGCAAAGTGACAAGTTTAATTTTGTGATGTTGCTGATGTTTTACAAAATTAACATACTTGGTAAAAAATTATAAATTTACCATTTTGAAAGATTTGTAATAAAAAAAAAGCAAATTTTACTTAACTTCTGTAAAGAGAGGTAACCTGAATACCAGACTTAGAAAATTAGATGAAGATGGAAAATATGATGCTATCATCTTAGCTGAAGCAGGACTGATTAGGATGGGCTGGGAAGATAGAGTTTCTCAGGTATTTAACTGAATAATTTTATAGGTTACAATAAACCATTAGACTTTATGGGTGCAGCCATTTTATGAAGATAACATGGTATTCAGAATTAAGAATATGGCTTATCCTGATTGGTCGATATGTGCACCCTTTATTTTTTATTATTAGAGACTTCGTGCATTCTGCATTATACCGAAGGCAAAATAAATTATTTTCCTTAGCCTTAACGGAACTGAATTGTCTTTTCAACGGTAGGATGAGACACATATTTTTAATATTTTAAAAAATCAACGTTCTTAAGTCTGTATCTCGAAAAAGGCTATCATTGTCGCCTATCAGCATTTGAGACGCTCAAATCCACATTTGAGACGATCACATCCTCATTTGAGGCAGTCTTGTATGGTACATGTAAGCAATGTAGCGACAATTACCAAAGATTTTTTTTGTGAACAAATAGTTCTTTTGTTATCAAGTTTCTTTGATTACAGATTTTATCTGCTGACGTCTGTATGTATGCTGTTAGTCAGGGTGCCAAGGCTGTGGAATGTAGAGCTGATGACACAGATACACTAAACCTTCTGGCACATATACATGACCCAGATACAACCATGGCATGCATTGCTGAAAGAGCTTTCTTAAGAACTCTGGTAAATAATTTAATTTTGGATGTAACACGTCTTCTGATTGGTTGAAAGTTTTTTGTCATAGCTCATAGACATAATTTTGTCATGTGATTGTGACATCATCAATCGAAATAACCTAAAAAATGTGGTGCACACTTTTAAATAATCTGCTATGTGGGTTATTCAGTGTGCACCACATTTTTGAGGTTATTTCTTCATAGACAGAAAAAATATTACAGTCATTAAATAAATTTATCAATAAAATAATTTTTAAAGGTATCATAAGGACATTGCACATTTATCATTTCAATGAGAGTTTTCCCTCTTGAATAGGCATTTACTTTCCTTATTCAATAGAAAAAATTTGAACACATTCAACTATACACGTGCATATTTTTTCCTGCTAATTTGTGCTGTTCAGGTTGAAGCTTCCAATATTTGAACAAAATCAACATTCAGTGGTAAATTTAAAGTTTGTTTTGCAAAATTTATCATTTGTCATATACAATTATTAAAAAATTAGTTAACAAAAACTTTGTATGATGTCTAATTTGGGAAAAGATAGATAAGAAAAAACAGAAGTTTTAAGTAAATTCTCCACTGCATCCCATTTTAATTTTTTTACAATTTTTAAAGCATTGATTTTCAATGGCCTGATTCAAAAAGATAATTGAAAAAAGACATGATAATAGCAATTTGTTAAATGAAATTGATATAATGCGAGCCTATTTGTAAATACTATTATGTGTTTGAAATGATTTTGATAAGTTGTTCTCTGTTTTATAGGAAGGAGGTTGTAGTGTACCTGTAGCTGTTTGTACAGAAATAAAAGATTCAAAGGTAAAACTCCTCAGTAAATCACAAAACATTAAGTATAAAACAAATCTGTATTTCATATCTCAGTACTAAAGCCTAATAAACTTGGTATAGTCAGTTAAAAGAATTGCTACATTAAAAATTTTGGTATTTTTAAAAAGTCTGTTTGATAGTTAAGGGTTGTTTTTATGCCCCACCTACGATATTAGAGGGGCATTATGTTTTTCAGTCTGTGCGCCCATTTGTTCGTTCTACCGTCTGTTCGTCCATCTGTCTCGCTTCAGGTTCAAGTTTATGGTCAAGGTAGTTTTTGATGAAGTTGAAGTCCAATAACTTTAAACTTAGTACACATGTTCCCTATGATATGATCTTTCTAATTTTAATGCCAAATTAGAGTTTGACCCCAATTTCACGGTCCACTGAACATAGAAAATGATAGTGGGAGTGGGGCATCCATGTACTATGGACACATTCTTGTTTTTTCCTCTTTCAGAATGCATTATCTTGAAATTCTTGTAAAATGACAGCAATCTTTACCCTTAAGTGCTTTTGTAATTATTTGGAGAATGTTGTATGTATCTTCCTCTTTAGAAAATTTGTTGGGAGTATATGTTGAATACATCAGAATTTGTTTTCAACTTGTCTAAAAATGATTAATTTAGGAAAGTAAAGGAGGAAATTATTTATGGAAATAATTGCATTTATGATATGCTTTTACACTAGTTATCCAAATTAACCAGAATTTTACAGATACACAAAAGTCTACAGCTTATTCCAGATAAACAATGAGTTCAATTCATAAAAGAAAACATGACAGTTTATTTGATCTAAATGTCTTCTTTTTTATTTCAGTTGTCTATAACAGGAGGTGTATTCAGCGTAGATGGTAAACAATGTGTTCAGGACAGTGTTGACAGAGATCTGTCTGAAATCATTGAACCTCCAAAGAAAAAGGTAGGAAATATTACTAATACATATACGTTCTATTGAATGTATTGGTAATTTTATCTACACTTGGCTTAATGTAAAGTTTCATGCTATAGTCCTACTACTGATGATTTTTTAAAGCTCTAAAACAAATTTCTGTCAGAATCTTGTTATGCCCCAATTGTTTGTTTGTATGTCCCATAATAGGTTTCCGTTCTCTAACTTTACTGTGCCTCAACCAAATGTTATGAAACTCATATGGAATGCTTATTAACACCAAACACAAATCAAGTTCGAATTTGGAGTTGTTTTCAATATTCTCAAGTTATGTTTCTTTATAATTGGAAAGAATGATGAATTTGTCATTTATTTTTCCCTACTTTTATTTCTACCTATGAAAAGTGTCATCTTTAAAAACTGAAATCATCAACTGTGGAATGCATTATTCAAATTACGAATATATTCCATATAAATTGTTTGAACAAGTAGGAGTCTTATTTCAAAAAACAGAATTGTATACTGAAATGGAGGTCCATGTCAAAGACACATTTTGTTTATTTGCAGAGAGAAAATGTGTTGAGTCATATTTATCATATACCGGTACTGATGAATTGCTAAATCATTTACAAGTCACACTCCTTTGTTGTTTATATAAATATAATACAGGTATTTAGAATATTAAGATCTTTTTTAATTCCTGATTTTTTTTTGCAGATGCGTACAACAAAAGGAGTACAACAATACATATCAATAGCAGAACACTCAGACATATCCCACAATGCATTAGATGCTATCATGGCAGCAGGAGTTGAATTGGCCAAAAAGATCTTGACACCAGAGGGTGCTGCAATACTAAAAAAAGCTAAAGAAGACACAGCCATGGCAGTAATGGAAGAAAAAAGAAAGAAAGAATTAATCAAAGCTGTTGAAAGTGGATCTGTGAAATAATAATATATTTTCTATTTATTACAAACTTTTACAAGACGTTATGAATAGATGGATGTTTTACCTCCAGTGGGGCAAATTTTCAGCCATTTTCAGAAGAATAACATGTTTGCAATATGACGATGATCACTACTTGAAGTTGACTGATTGATTTGCCTAGCCTGCTTGCCAACAAAGTCAAAGTCTGCAGGAAGACATTCCAAACCGCCTTGACACATTATTCTGAATCTGAGCAAGAAATACAAGTTTTAAAGTCTTCTGTTTGACCCATTCTGGATTATATCCATGACCTTCATTATTCTGAGCGAGGAAGCTATAGAGGAAATACATGAGGGGCTGGATGGGGATTATAGAATAAAAAATAATGTGACAAATCTACAGAAAAATGGGCAAAAAAAATAAAGAATTGTGAATAATGGGCAAAAAATATAAAGAATACAGAAAAATGACATAAGAAATTGAATAATACATAAATAAATGACCCCCATCCAGGCCTTCATACATACATGTACATGTACATATGTAAGAGACAGTTAACTGATACTAGGATTCATAAACATTGGGTGAACGAGAATCTTGTAATTTGTATGTAATATTGAATGAATTTTAATGATAGGTAAAAGAAATATTTATATTTAATGTAATTATGTAGAGTTGCAATATCAATTACTTAGTATATTTTGTAAAACAGTCATTTTACTGGTACAAATAATAGTTGTGTGTGACCTGTGAGTATGACAGTGCATCATAATCAATGCATATTGCATTTATCAATTCATTGTGATATTTTATTATTATTATACGACCGCAAAAAAATTTTGTGGTCGTATATTGGTATGACGTTGGCGTCGTCGTCGTCGTCCGGCGTCGTCGTCGTCGTCCGAATACATATTGGTTTTCGCACTCTAACTTTAGTTTAAGTGAATGGATCTTTTTGAAATTTGACCATAAGGTTAAATACCACAAAAGGAAGGTTGGGATTGATTTTGGGGGTTAGGGTGCAATCAACAGTTTTTTTCTATGACGTCATATTTTAAGGGACCATGTCTAAGTGACCCTTAGTGGTGGAATGGTTAATAAAGATACTTGTATAAAACTAGATATCACTGGAATCAGAATTGTCTCTAGTTTATATTGAAATAAAAATATAGTGTACTTTTAATATAGTAAAAAAGTTCTATCCAGAGAAAATGGGGAAAAAGTTGGCTAATCTGAACATAAAAAACCTGAAATCAGCTCATGTGCATACCCATGTAAACATGATACAGGCACATTTTCCATAATCAAAACTGTATGAAATTCATAGGTTTTTACCTGGCCTTTAATAAAAATCATGTTTCAGGGTACGGTTTCCTGCTTCGAAAAGAGCTACAGTGGCTGCAAATAAGTTTTCAATTTTCACTGCCAAAACAACAGGATGTTTACAGTGTTGTCTCCCCTCAAAACATGTATATTTAATCTAATTTTTAAAATTATTTTAATCATTTAACCTGTTTAAATTGAAAGCTAATTAACTAATTTATACAATCAAATACAAAAAACATGATACTTTTTCACCAATTATATGAATAAAAAGGGATTTCCCTCCATGGTTATTTTTAGTCGGGGAATAACCCCTAGTTTTTTATACGAAACTGTTTATAGCACCCTTAAGCAAAACTTTGTTTGCGATATATAAAAAATTCTCTATTTTTCTGAATCTGTACATTATATCGATTAAAATGATGTCTTACTTTAAGGATTGTGACCATCGATAGTGAAACTACAGCTCATTTTTTATGTCGCATAGTATTGGCATATTGGCCAGTGGCAAATAGTTAAACTGGCATATTCCAAACATTTCCTGTATCACATTTTCATCAGTTATACAAAGAAAAAAAATCATAAAATTGGGTTTCTTTTGAATAAATAGAATAAAAACTATGAAATAAACATAAATAAAGTTACTTTAAAAAGATTTGGTCCCTAGTATTATATGAACTAAGGTGTAGCTGAGTTGAGAAAAATATTGAAATAGTGTATTTCTTAGGCATGGCACTTGTAGCTATTTGACTATAAAAAGTACCAAATGTATAATATAATGAATAAAAATGTATGTTACACTGATCAGTAGTAAAGGTCAAAGTAGAAAAAATCTACACTTTTCATGTGCAACTTTTGGTTCCAAATATATGAAAGAATGAATAAAAATATTATTATGACGTCGCAAAAAGATGAAAAAACTTCAAAATTTGCACACAGTCTGGTTTTCTTATATCTGGTTGCTATGTACAAATCTGTAATATTTGCATTAAATATACCAAACTGATGCTTTTAAATTAATGTATGCATGCCATATGATATTTTTCAGAATTGTTTTACTCCATTCACTAACACATCTCTATGCTAAAACCTCACTATATTATATGTTTGACCCTTTAAGGGTGCAATCAACAGTTTTTTTCTATGACGTCATATTTTAAGGGACCATGTCTAAGTGACCCTTAGTGGTGGAATGGTTAATAAAGATACTTGTATAAAACTAGATATCACTGGAATCAGAATTGTCTCTAGTTTATATTGAAATAAAAATATAGTGTACTTTTAGTATAGTAAAAAAGTTCTATCCAGAGAAAATGGGGAAAAAGTTGGCTAATCTGAACATAAAAAACCTGAAATCAGCTCATGTGCATACCCATGTAAACATGATACAGGCACATTTTCCATAATCAAAACTGTATGAAATTCATAGGTTTTTACCTGGCCTTTAATAAAAATCATGTTTCAGGGTACGGTTTCCTGCTTCGAAAAGAGCTACAGTGGCTGCAAATAAGTTTTCAATTTTCACTGCCAAAACAACAGGATGTTTACAGTGTTGTCTCCCCTCAAAACATGTATATTTAATCTAATTTTTAAAATTATTTTAATCATTTAACCTGTTTAAATTGAAAGCTAATTAACTAATTTATACAATCAAATACAAAAAACATGATACTTTTTCACCAATTATATGAATAAAAAGGGATTTCCCTCCATGGTTATTTTTAGTCGGGGAATAACCCCTAGTTTTTTATACGAAACTGTTTATAGCACCCTTATGGTACCAACAGTTAAGGAATTAGGGGCCAAAAAGGGGCCAAAAATGAGCATTTTCTAGTTTCCAGACAATAACTGTGGAACGGTGTATGGATCTCTCTGAAATTATACTACAAGTTTCCATACCACAAAGGGATGGTTAGGATTTGCTTTGGGGGGTTATGGCTCAAACCGTTTAGGAATTAGGGGCAAAAAAGGGGGAAAAACAAGGTTGTCCTGGTTAATGGACAAATACTTTAGTACAAAACATAGTTTAAAGCAGTGTAAGGGAGATAAATCAAATACATCATTGAAATTATCTCCCTTACACTGCTTTTAAATTATGTATAAAGTAATGGTTAATGAACAATAAAGATAATCTAAAACAGTGTAAGGGAGGTAATCCAAATACAACGTTTTGGTTACTTCCCTTACACTGCTTTTAAATTATGTTTAAAGAAATGCATATTTATAAAGGAAGACCAGTAAAAATATCTGCAAATGTTTTCATCTTTTTTTTTTACAAAAAAATCCATATGAAAGATTTGACACTATATTTTTATTAATTCTATTATAAAATAGATTAAGTTAGCACTATGGTAAATTTAAATGGGTAATTATGGTTGCCAACTCCATTGGAAATTTGAATTGAGATTATGACCATATCTTGAGGGAAAGAATTTTTTGGGGGGAAAAAGGGGGGGGGGGGGTAAAAAGAAATTGTGGGGGGGCAATTTTTTCTCATTTCAGATTTCAGAAATTAAAAGAATTATTCTTCAAATATTATTTTTTTTTCAAATTTCAAATATTGAAAAATTTCAAGAAGTAATCTTTAATTGCACAGTATGGCGCATTAGATTTGTAAAATCTTTGATCATATTTATTTATTTGTTATGCCGAATCTAACAGTGTATTTAGATTTTTAATTTTGGGTCCAGTTTTCAAATTGGTCTACATTAAGGTCCAAAGGGTCCAAAATTAAACTTTGTTTGATTTTAGCAAAAATTGAATATATGAGGTTCTTTGATATGCTGAATCTAAACATGTATTTAGATTTTTGATTTTTGGCCCAGTTTTCAAGTTGGTCCAAATTGGGTTCAAAATTAAACTTTGTTTGATTTCAACAAAAATTGAATATATGGGGTTCTTTGATATGCTGAATCTAACCATGTATTTAGATTTTTTATTTGTGGACCCCGTTATCTAATTGGTTCATATTGAGGTCAAAAGGGTCCAAAATTAAACTTTGTTTGATTTCATCTAAAATTGAATTATTGGGGTTCTTTGATATTCCAAATCTAACCGTGTATTTAGGTTTTTAATTTTGGGTCCTGTTTTTTAAATTGGTCTACATTGAGGTCCAAAGGGTCCAAATTAAACTTAGTTTGATTTTAACAAAAATTGAATTCTTGGGGTTCTTTGATTTGCTGAATCTAAACATGTGTTTAGATTTTTGATTATGGGCCCAGTTTTCAAGTTGGTCCAAGATAGGGTCCAGTATTTAAACTTTGTTTGATTTCAACAAAAATTGAATATATGGGGTTCTTTGATATGCTGAATCTAAACATGTATTTAGATTTTTGATTATGGGCCCAGTTTTCAAGTTGGTCCAAATTGGGGTCCAAAATTAAACTTTGTTTGATTTCAACAAAAATTGAATATATGAGGTTCTTTGATATGCTGAATCTAACCATGTATTTAGATTTTTTATTTGTAGGCCCCGCTATCAAATTGGTTCATATTGAGGTCAAAAGGGTCCAAAATTAAACTTTGTTTGATTTCATCGAAAATTGAATTATTGGGGTTCTTTGATATGCCAAATCTAACCGTGTTTTTAGATTTTTAATTTGGGTCCCGTTTTTTAAATTGGTCTTCATTGAGGTCCAAAGGGTCCAAAATTAAACTTAGTTTGATTTGAACAAAAATTGAATTCTTGGGGTTCTTTGATATGCTGAATCTAAACATGTGTTTAGATTTTTGATTATGGGCCCAGTTTTCAAGTTGGTCCAAGTTGGGGTCCAAAATTATACTTTTTTTGATTTCAACAAAAATTGAATATATGGGGTTCTTTGATATGCTGAATCTAACCATGAATTTAGATTTTTTATTTGTGGGCCCCGCTATCAAATTGGTTCATATTGAGGTCAAAAGGGTCCAAAATTAAACTTTGTTTGATTTCATCAAAAATTGAATTATTGGGGTTCTTTGATATTCCAAATCTAACCGTGTATTTAGATTTTTAATTTTAAGTCCCGTTTTTTAAATTGGTCTACATTAAGGTTCAAAGGGTCCAAAATTAAACTTAGTTTGATTTTAGCAAAAATTGAATTCTTGGGGTTCTTTGATATGCTGAATCTAAACATGTGTTTAGATTTTTGATTATGGGCCCAGTTTTCAAGTTTGTCCAAGTTGGGGTCCAAAATTAAACTTTGTTTGATTTTAACAAAAATTGAATATATGGGGTTCTTTGATATGCTGAATCTAACCATGTATTTTGATTTTGGACATTGGACCATAATAGGTAAATTAAAAAAATTCAAGTTCTTAGACCACATTCTTTCTGTGTCAGAAACCTATGCTGTGTCAAATATTTAATAACAATCCAAATTCAGAGCTGTATCAAGCTTGAATGTTGTGTCCATACTTGCCCCAACTGTTCAGGGTTCGACCTCTGCGGTCGTATCAAGCTGCGCCCCAGCGAAGCATTTTATTTTTATTTTTTGAATTTTGTTAAACCCTGTGACATGTATTGAGAGGTGTTCATAGACCAAGGGTCTGTGAAGGGTAATTTTTTCTGGTTTTGGCCATTCATTAGTGAGATAAACATTCATAATCTTGGTGCTTTCAGAATTAAGAAGATTGGTCATTTGGTTATTTACTCACATGAATGCCATGCATAGAATCAGTCCAACATTAAAATACTTGTCAGGTAATAAAACTGACATTTTGTGTGTATCTTGCAATATAATTGTGACTCTTACTCATCTGTATTTTGATTGTTTTACTTTCCACAGGCTGTTTATTCACCTGGTAAGTGGCCAGGAACATAAAGAAAATTTAACTTCCCGTTTTCCAAATTACAAGCAAATTATGTGAACCATCAATACCCTGGTAATATTTTAATAGTTTATTTAATTATGTATTTATGTAACTGCATCTTTGCTTCACCCCTAGCCTCTAGTAAACAAGAAATTTGAAACTGCATACAATATCACACTTTGCTAGATAACTGAAATCATGTTGAAAAAATTTCCAGACCCTTGCTTTAGACTTATAAATAAATATTATGGGAGTAAAAAGAAGTATATTAATTTTAAAGATGATTTAGCAGACTTAGAAAACTAGATGTATATTATTTTTTTATTTTATTTAAATTTTATTGGTGCTTATGACAGAGTTATATATTATGTTGTTATATGTTTTTTGTTTATTAAGTGCATGTATTTGTTTGAAATGATGAGAGTGTATGAATGTGTTATAGTTCACATTTCTGTAAATAAAAAACAGACATGAAAAAAGATGTCAATGAAAGCACTAAAACATAAGTCTTCCAAAATAGACAACAAGAGGTCACCATACAGTCACCACTGACTGACACAAAAGGAGATAAGTTAAAAAAAATGGTGCTTGATTACTTCTTTATGTCTATTTTTACAATGTTGACTTTGTGTTGGTGAGCTGCTGTCTCATTGTTATTTACTGTAAATTCAGAAATTATTGCATGTATTAGTTATTGTGATTATTGAAGAATGGACAAAAATGTGAGATTAATTATTGCCAATCCGTAAAAAGCTGCACACAGATACTTGTTTGAATTAGAGTGGCTTCACTTCCACTGTTCTCGAGTTACCCCATTACTGTTTGTTATTGAACAATGAGAGAACTCAAACCCCCATCCAATCTCTAAGACAACATACAGGAACAAATGTCAATAGACATGATAGGTTTGAATTAGTACATTAACTTGCATATTTACAAACGGGAGCATATGTGTCTCGTGGACACATAATTCTTTTATTTTCATTTTTGTTAAAGGTACATGTAGTACAATGTGTCCTTAGCATTCTGACTGAATATCTATGGTATAATCTTTCATGTTTTTTTTTCTTTTAAGTTTATGCTAACGTGATTGTTGTGGAAAGATTTTTATGTTTATAAGAGTGAACAACAATTTATAATATGACAATGTGAATGATTGTAATAATTTGTGAAGTTGTCATGTCCTGTTTGTTAAATAAGAAAATTAATATTTGTTATAGATGTGCATATTTTACCTGTATAATTATGATAGTTGTTATTTATGTGTATTATATTGAAAGGTTAAATAAAGTGAGATTGCTGATTTATTGAATCTTGTCTTAGATTTTACATATAGTCTGTATTTAGCTCACCTGGCCACATGAGCTATTGCCATCAGTTAGCATCCATCATCATCGTCTGTTGTCATGGTTAACTTTTTTTTAAAGATCTTCTTCTCTGAAACTTTTTTACTAATTTCAACCAAACTTTAGGTTTATGATCCTTATGATATCTAGTATAAAGTTTGTTATTTATTTCGGTCAGTCAACAAATATGGCTGCCATGGCTAAAAATAGAACATAGGGGAAAATGCAGTTTTTGGCTTAAGCCAAACAAAAATATATGTCTGTTTAAGGTTACATCATTAAAAAAAATAGGGTTGGTAGGTCGGTATTTCCAATTTATTTTATATTTTCATTTTATTTTTTGCAACATGATTTTTAAGTCTCGCGGTGCGTCTTGCCGTGGTCAAAGTTGTCCATAGTCGGAGTTTACCCGTAATTTTATTAATTGGATTATTTCCCTTGGTTAATGGTTTGGGGAAAAAAATGGCGTCAAAATGTTTACTTCATCACATGAGTCACGAGTTTCTTAAAACAGCTGTCATATTCACGATTGTGAACATTGAGATGTATCAGGCAATGGATTTATTTTATTGGCAACTTGACTTCGCTTTTGACACAAGTTCAGTTAATTTTTCACTTAACGACTGAAATAAAATGACTTAGGGTTGGCGCTCAAAAGTAGAGTCGGTTGGGTAACCAAGTTGAAGCCAAGGTTGACAATGTTTTTTCAAGTGGAAACAATCTGCTCTATCACCCTCTCAGCTATGTGTTATTTAAGAAATAATTCATGAAAGCCATAGATTTGTTGGAAATTCACACATGGCCTGGGCCCTGATATTCGAATTTTATCCTGAGCGTTACCCAGGGATCAAATTAACGAATATCACGGCCCAGGCCATGTGTAAATTTCCAACAAATCTATGGCTTCCATGAATTATTTCAATTCTAATAGGACAAATATTGTCATTAAAAAACTGAAGCAAGGGTGGGTATGCCGTTTGTGTGGCTGTTCTTTTTTACTCCCTGTTAGATAAAGCTAAAACATTCTAATAAATCTGTAGCTTGCATGAATTATTTCGTAAACAACCGCTAGGAAAAATGTGCTTAATTCTTTTAATTCTCAAACCCAACATTTGCCATTTTTAATTTACATGTTTTTCTCGTAAGCTACCGTCAAATCCAAAGTTGACATTTCGTAACTAAGGAGCCGCCATGTTGACTTGCTGAAATCAGTAAATATGCGAATAATGCAATAAAATAGAAAATAAAACAACATCTACCTCAAAAATCCATTTTAATGTAATATTATACGAATTTCGATGGTTCACGTAACGGAAAAACCTTCAGCTTTAGCGTTTTCATTTGTATGATGTCATGTTTTAAAATGACTTAAATGCACCAAAAGCATTAATGGACTTTCGCGGAATTTTATTTTATTTTGATTTTGTAGATTTCTCTGAGCTATTGTGCATTAATAGTTTTGTTATGCACCGGAATAATAATAAAAGTTTTGTATTCTTTTTCAATTGCAATTTTAAAAACAATAAAATCGGCATAGTATTTGCAAATAGGTTCAAATACATGTAGATTTACGAGGGAGGTATATTGTAACATCCATTATTATGTATATCTCTGAGTCTGCGCTAAGTATAGATATATTGAGAATTTTATCACAGTGTTGTTTACAAAGCGAAAGAAGCATGTCATATTAGAATTGATATTTTATACAGACTGTTCTGTAAGAATTCATATTTACAAATGTTTTGTCTTTTAAATTTTAAATTGAAAGTACTTTACTATGACGTCATGTGGTCCGGGTACACAGTTATCGTCCTTTGATTTTCGTTGTCCACGAATATAGTCCCTAGTGTGGACAGTGTGTTACTTGTCGATTTTTTTTATACCCCTTCCGAATTTATTTCTCCATGTTTTATGACTCAAATAGTAAGTAGGGGGGTGAAATGACACTGTAAAAAAATTTGGGTCATGAATTTTAAAGTAAAGTAGTGATTTGGTCCAGCTGAAAAATGTTAAAAATTAGCACATCGGAAGCTGTCAAAAGATTTGAAGACCCCCTTAGCATGAAATTGTCCATATTTTGAGTTAGAGCCGATGAAGTTTTCTATAATTTTGATATAATTTGTCCCAAAAGTAGTACAACACACTGTAAAAATATAATTGAGAAAGCGCAGGTGGGATTTTTTTAATTTCCATTTATTGTCTAAAAGAAATGCACTACGAAATAACTGTGTACTCGGACCTAAGAGGTGAAATCAGGAAATATAGAATCTGTACTTTGGCAACTTCCCTGAATGATTTGATGGTGTCAATTTATCAAATAGCATAAAACTAAAGGATTTAAACTTTTATTTGATAGAATTTCTGCAAAAATTACCAATTTTGGCATTTTATGGTCAAAATAAGCATTTCATAGCTTTTTCAATTTTCATGCATAAGTGGCATTCTGACTTTCTATCTGACAGGTTTTTATGTGTCAATATTTGTGTTTCTATGTTTCAATCCAGTTGTATTACTCATTTGTGAACTCTGAATCTACAGAAAAGAAGATTATCTCAGACAATATGCGCAAAATGTGTTGTATATATGATCCTCGTCTAACGCCCTGTTTGGATCAAGTTAAATGTGAGGAGCTTGGAACATAAAAGTTGAAGTCCATTATAAAGACCTCACTAAATTTGTATAAAAAGCACTTAACAATGTCTTTTGTACCTGTTTTATGTCACATAATACCTTTCTTTTCTTCTGTAGGATAGCAAGTGGTTCAAATATAAGCCTGTTGAGACTAAAATTGCATGCATGTTTTTCACTAAAAAGTGAAAAATCTTTGTATCAGACCATACTGTCTGCAAAAAAAGTTGAATGCAAGAGTCTTTTTGTGCTCAGATTTATTGTATCATGTCACCTGAGTATAGAAATGATAGAAAAGACACAAAATTTTATTTCATATAGCTTCAATATGCATTTTTAAATGTAAATATGTGATACGGCCTAAATTGACCCTAAATTATTTTCAGTCTTACTTGGCCTAAGACCCTTTTAAGCTAATGTGATATGTTATTTGTAAGTTTTCTTTCCATTTAAAGTACATTAAATACATATGTAAGGATTATTTATAACCAAAAAGCTTTACAAATTTAAAATTGTTGGAAAATATTACATCTTCATGTAAGGCCCCCCTTCATTGGAAAACCTCCATTTTTAGCCACAGGCTCATATAAATTTGACTTTTTAATAATTATGATAAGTCTGATGAATCAAATGAGTACTCTATTGCTTTTAATACATAATATATTATATATTAAGGCATTTCAAAAGTATTTTTTTGCAATATTTTAATTTTTTAAGCCTCAATTGTTGATAGTTGAAAATTTTCAATTTTAACGTCTAAATTTAACACTCAAAGTTCAATATAGAATTAGTCATATTGTCTATAATATATATCCTATTGCCATGAAACTTTGTAAGCAGTCTTATAATTTAATAAGCTTTAGTCATACCAAGTTTCATTAAGATTGGTCAACTTTTTCTACCCTATTAGGTCCGGGTACACAGTTATCGTCCTTTGATTTTCGTTGTCCACGAATATAGTCCCTAGTGTGGACAGTGTGTTACTTGTCGATTTTTTTTATACCCCTTCCGAATTTATTTCTCCATGTTTTATGACTCAAATAGTAAGTAGGGGGGTGAAATGACACTGTAAAAAAATTTGGGTCATGAATTTTAAAGTAAAGTAGTGATTTGGTCCAGCTGAAAAATGTTAAAAATTAGCACATCGGAAGCTGTCAAAAGATTTGAAGACCCCCTTAGCATGAAATTGTCCATATTTTGAGTTAGAGCCGATGAAGTTTTCTATAATTTTGATATAATTTGTCCCAAAAGTAGTACAACACACTGTAAAAATATAATTGAGAAAGCGCAGGTGGGATTTTTTTAATTTCCATTTATTGTCTAAAAGAAATGCACTACGAAATAACTGTGTACTCGGACCTAAGAGGTGAAATCAGGAAATATAGAATCTGTACTTTGGCAACTTCCCTGAATGATTTGATGGTGTCAATTTATCAAATAGCATAAAACTAAAGGATTTAAACTTTTATTTGATAGAATTTCTGCAAAAATTACCAATTTTGGCATTTTATGGTCAAAATAAGCATTTCATAGCTTTTTCAATTTTCATGCATAAGTGGCATTCTGACTTTCTATCTGACAGGTTTTTATGTGTCAATATTTGTGTTTCTATGTTTCAATCCAGTTGTATTACTCATTTGTGAACTCTGAATCTACAGAAAAGAAGATTATCTCAGACAATATGCGCAAAATGTGTTGTATATATGATCCTCGTCTAACGCCCTGTTTGGATCAAGTTAAATGTGAGGAGCTTGGAACATAAAAGTTGAAGTCCATTATAAAGACCTCACTAAATTTGTATAAAAAGCACTTAACAATGTCTTTTGTACCTGTTTTATGTCACATAATACCTTTCTTTTCTTCTGTAGGATAGCAAGTGGTTCAAATATAAGCCTGTTGAGACTAAAATTGCATGCATGTTTTTCACTAAAAAGTGAAAAATCTTTGTATCAGACCATACTGTCTGCAAAAAAAGTTGAATGCAAGAGTCTTTTTGTGCTCAGATTTATTGTATCATGTCACCTGAGTATAGAAATGATAGAAAAGACACAAAATTTTATTTCATATAGCTTCAATATGCATTTTTAAATGTAAATATGTGATACGGCCTAAATTGACCCTAAATTATTTTCAGTCTTACTTGGCCTAAGACCCTTTTAAGCTAATGTGATATGTTATTTGTAAGTTTTCTTTCCATTTAAAGTACATTAAATACATATGTAAGGATTATTTATAACCAAAAAGCTTTACAAATTTAAAATTGTTGGAAAATATTACATCTTCATGTAAGGCCCCCCTTCATTGGAAAACCTCCATTTTTAGCCACAGGCTCATATAA